TAGAAATAACAAATAAATTATAATATTAATTTTTATTTTATAATGATTACAAAGTATACAAGCCACCAACTAATCTAATCTAATCAAGGAAAAAAAAAAGAAATGCTCAGAATTCTAAAAATGATAAGGAAAAAAAAACATTAAACAAGAAGGAAATTAAGGAAAAAGAACTGAAGGCCAGATGGTGGTGGTGCACGCCTTTAATCCCAGCACTCTAGAGGCAAAGACAAGAGGATCTCTGTGAGTTCGAGGCCAGCCTGGTCTACAAAGAGAGTTCCCGGATAGGTAGGGCTACACAGAGAAACCCTGTTTGAAAACAAACAAAAATCAAAAGAAAAGAAAGAACTTAAGCCAATGCTTTGCGTAAGTTTATGTAAGTAAGTTAAAAACCCTAGACTAAACGTACTGTTTGGTGTGTACACATACACGCGTACACATGTGTAAAGGTGTGCATATGGAGACCACCGGTCAAAATGGGCATCTTCCTTCATCTCTCTCCACCTCATTTGGGGAGACAGTCTCTTCCTGAACCTGGAGTTTACTAGTGAGCTAGCTTGATTGGCAGCAAGCCCCAGGATTATCTTCCGCCAGTCCTGAGCTTACAGGCTCACTGCTGGGCCTGCCATCTTCCATGGGAGCTAAACTAATGTCCACACTTGTGGGACAAACTCTACCAAATTATCCATCTCCCTAATCCCTAAATGGGTAATTTTTAAAAGGAAAATATAATTTACTAAGCTCATCTCAAGAGACAATAAACAGACCAGTATACAAAGACCTACTACCATTATATAAGTCCGTAAGATAGCTTTACAAAATTCTACCAAACACTTAAAGACTGTGCCATAGCAATGACCAGCAAAACACTCCAATTCTTCTTATGAACTAATAACATTCCACAGGCCGCCTCCTGACTTGAGGAAAATTCCCCAGTCCATATCCTCCCCTTTTATGATGCCCAGCATTCTAGGAAACAGTGTCACTACAATGTTGTCATCGTTACTGCCTGATGTCCATGTAGAAGATGCCCACCCCAAACATCATATAATGTTTTTAACAATGTAATGCAGAGAAAATCTCACAGGTAGCCGTCCAAATTCCAGTGGCAGATTATCAGAATCAGGTAGAATGTTTTTGCAAAGAGATGTATCCAAATCATTATTAATAGCTATTTTAACCAATGATTAGCAAAATTTATGTTTTATGCCCTAACATGATACTTTTTGACCTGGAAGCTTTTTCATCATATTTTATGAAACCGTGGGGTTCAGTTAGCATGCAACATGGTAATTTTTAAAAACTATTTGAAATGAGAACGGTAATGAATTCCTTATCTAACACGTGAAAGGCCCTAGGTTTGGTCCTTAACACCAGGAAGACAAAATACAACTTTTTTTTTTTTTTTAAAAAATGGCTGTAGTTGGAACAACTAATTTTCAGGAATGGAGATGGAGTACTGAGGTTGAGTATGATATGACTATATGGCATTAATAACCTAACCTTTCAATGCTTAAACACAGGATGATAAAACCACCGTACACACCTCACTTTAAAGAATCAGGCCAAAATCTTAGAAAAAGAATAATAGAATCAAATAGCACATTTCAATGTAAGTATGACCGTCTTAATCTTTGCAATCACACTAGGCTTCACCATGTGACTTTTATACACAGTGAGAGAGGAGAGAGTGGCCACACGGCGGCCCCTCTTGCCCAGAGGAACACCACAGACGTGAGCTGGGGTGAGCTGGTGCTACAATCACCAGCAGCCACTCCACAGAAGTCTCCTCACAGGCTTGTGCCACTGCTGGGGACCCTATTGATCATGTCGGTCCTGGAGGTAAATGCCCCAAGAGAGTAGCCAGCATCTTTTAAAGGGGCCATCACCTTGGCCAAAGCTTTTCCTTATCCCTATGGGGAGAGGCTATTGGGGAAACAAGACTGGCCATTCCATGTAAAGTGACAGACCACTGTGACTCTGTGCTGGTGTGCCTCATCTCTGCCCCCAGAGCCACTGGCCTCATCCCTGCTCCTCTGTCCAGGAAGCTGCTGCTGCTGACCGACAATGATGACAGCTACACGCCAGTAAGGCCAGTGGTACTCACCCTTCTTACGCTACGACCCTTTAATGCAGTTCCTCATGCTGCAGTGACGCCCAACCACAAAATTATTTCCTTGCTACTTCATGACTGTAATTTTACTACTTTAATGAATCATAATGTAAATATCTGACATGCAGGACAGCTGAAATGTAACCCCAAAGGGGTCACGACCCACAAGCTGAAAAACACTGAGTTAGGGCCGTACTGTTACTTTGGCGACCTCTCCAAGGCCACCTTTGATGCCATCTCCAAGACCTACAGCTACTTGACCCCCAACCTCTGGAAAGAGCCCATATTCACCAAGTCTCCTTATCAGGAACTCACTGTCCAACTTGTGAAAACCCACACAGAAGTCTCCACTCAGAGGATGCAGGCTCCTTCAGTGGCTACCACAGTTTTTATTTATTATCAGACATAGCTCATTCTATTTTTATACCAGAAAAATAGAATGCTAAGAAATAATGACCAATTGAGGTATATACCAACATCACATAGACAGGTCCAGATCTGAAGCCCACTTCTATATATCTCCACATATAAGAGATGCTGGAAAGACTTAACCAAATTTAACTCTGTGGACAGGCAAAAAAATCTACTCAAATAGGAATTAATGTATACTAGAAACATATGTTTCTGCATAGGTCTCAAGTCAGAACTTTTACCTCAGTGCAGATGAAACAAGGCCAGGGTACCCAGTAACCTGGACGTTTTCACCAGTGCTATCACATTTATGAGAGATCAAAAACTTGGAAGAGAGACACACTCACTCACAGAAATTTTGATAATGTATTAGAGAAAACAAACATAAAGAATTGACATTAAAACTAATGCCTGATTTGAGGAGTCAGAGAAATAGGATAAATAAAAATATATAAAAAATTAAGAATCAATAATCTAGATTTTTTTTCTTCTAGCAGAAGTAGTGACAGGCATCAGATTAACCCCAAAAGGAATAATCACAAACACCAGACAGAGAAGCTTGTACTGAACACTTGCAATTTTGGCACTCCAAAGACAGAGTTCAGTGTCTGAGCTACAGAGTGAGACTCTGTCTCAGGAAGAAAATAAAAAAATATATATATACCAGGCATTCAGACACTAAAAATCCAAGCCAGAGACCAGGAGAAAATACTTATTAAAAACATTTGATAAAAGATCTCTGTGGAAAATACTGAAAGAGGTGCTGGAGGGACAGGTCAGTGGTTAAGAGCACTTCCTGCTCTTGCAGAGGGCCTGGGTTCAGCAGCCAGCACCCCCATGGCAGCTCATGACTGTCTCTAACTCCAGTTACAGGGTTTCTGGAGCTCTCTTCTGACTCCACCAGCACCAAGCATGCACATGGTGCGTAGCATACATCGGGCAAAACATCCACACATAAAATAAAAATAAGTAAATCCATATGTGTATGTGTAGATCTTGAAAGTTAATAACTATTAAACAAAGAAATTTAAAAATTGGCAAAGACCTGAATAAAAATCTCACCTTAGAAGATGCACAGTTGCCAAGTAACCATAATAAGAATCATACATCATTAGGAAGTTGCCAAAGTAAACAAACTCTACTACACGTTTCATTAGAACAACTAGAATCCAAAGCACTGGTAGCACAAGGTTCAGAAAGACGGGAAGCAGCGAGAGCATCAGCCGCTAATGGGGATGTAGCTAGCACAGCCACACTGAAGACAGTCTGGGGTTCACATAAACCCCAACACAGTCTTATCACATACAACTTCACAATCATGCTTAGGTGTGCACTCCCAAAGTACACCAACACGAAACCTGAACACGTTATGTCTGCTTATAACCACCAAAACGAAAGTAACTGAAACACCCCTGACAGGTGCACGGACAGCTGTGGTACACCCCGACAGTGGAACTGCAGTGTGGTAAGAAACCTACTATCAAGCCACAAAACCCCCTTTTTGATGCTAAAACTTGTTCTTTTTTAAAAGTTAACCTGAAAATCTGTGTGCTGCATGTCCAAGTATGTGACGTTCTGATACAAGGTCTGTGGCTGCCAGCATGGATGGGGCCAACTGTGCACCAAATCCCAGGGGGTCCCCGGGCTCAGTCCCAGGCTACTCTACAGAGGAACAAAGGAGGGGCTTGGAAGACAGATCCATCTGTAGGCATGGCGAGTGAAACAAGAATGGGCCAAGATCAAGTTTTCCTCATTGGAAGCTCAGAGAAACCAGAGGCTAAAGAGCTAAAGACCACCAGCCTCCAGCACTGTCTTCCCAGCGTGTGTGATGGACTGCAGGTGTGTGTGGGCACGCGATATACAGCTCACGTGCTCTACCGCAGAGCTCAGTACGTCCCTGGCCTTCCTTAGGCCCTGTCTCTCTCCCTGGAATGATTTCTTCCGCTCTAGCATCTGTCCTGGCAAGGGCCACACCGGTCACCTGCAAGTTTCTTCTTACTACACACCTGTTCACTGGGCTCTCACCGCATGATCCTTTCTGGTTTCACACACACAGGAATGAGCAAGGGAAGAGAGCAAGTCAGACAAGGGGGTGGGGCTTAGGGCAAGGGTATAGAAGCAGTGAATAGGTAGATGACAGCTGAGATCCTGGTCCTGCCCGCCACCAGCACTAGTCAAGTGACACAAGATGAAGGTTTTGTGGTCTTTCCACCTTCCACTGTATTCTCAGTACTCTGACACTGAGCCTGGCGTAGCCAGCAATGTGAAAACATTTTTTTGGAGGAGGGACAAAGGTATTTAACATCCACCTGCCTGAAGGGCAACGGAAAGCCAAGAAATATCAAAAGCCAGATACCGATAGCAAAGAACTTTCCATCACAGAGAAAATTCAGAGAGGCAAGCTAGATGCCCAGCCACTGACACGGAGCAGCAGGAATGGGGAGAGCTGGACCTGCCATTGGTACAGGGAGATACTCACTGGGAGCTACAGAGGTCTCCCCGGGAGGGCCCGTCAGTGTCACTGGGACGTGCACTGTGGTGCTGGGGTCTGAAGGCTGACTGCCCATCCGGGTGACATTACGCTGGTTGTCTGCATCTTCCGGTTGCTCCTCCACTTTCTGGAGACAGGTACTGGGCAGCATGTGCAGAGGGCCCACACCTGTAACCGCAACAGTCTCCAGATCACAGTGAGGTTCCCTGAAACCAAAATGCCCATTAGTCTGATGCAGTAGGTGAGACCCAGCTCCTTATGGCTACCCCTTTACGCAAGGCAAGTAAAGCTTGGGCGAGCAGCTCTCCTGTGTTTTGCGTAGTTTATTACTACACACTTAGGTTATCTCGCAGTCTAGAAGAAGGGTATGGCGCTGACCCATCTGCTTTTAACAGAGCCGGGCACTATTGGTGTTACAGTTATGTGGAACAAACCCCCTTGCAGAACGAAGCAGTCTGAAGAAGGCCATTTCCCTAAGACACCCTTAGAGCCCCGCCCCATCCCACCCAGTGCTCTCCCTTAAGCTGACCCTCAACAACAGCCTCCAGCTGTGCCTAACCTGGTTTCTGGCAGCCAGTGGGCAAGCACAAAGATGGGGGCTTCAGCCTCAACCTCCAGCCTCCAGGTCTCTTGAAGAGTCAGAGCCAAAAAGCAGGCCAGTACCCTCTGGTCCGCTTTTTGTAAAGTCAGCCAGCAACCTTGTTCGTGTCTCCTCTCCCAGCGTCCTCCCCAATTTTCCCTTCTCCTGGATGCTCCACTCTTTCCCAGGTCAGTGTGTTCCCAGTGTCTCCAGTTTCTCCCTAAGTCCTTTGTCCCTTCCTGGGTGTCGCTGAGTACACATTGGTTGCCACAAGGGATTTTACAGAAAGGAGAATTGGGAATGGGGGTGTGAGGTGACAACAGGAGCAGCCTGGCAGAGTCCCTTTCCCTATTATTTGCATAAGGGCTACTAACCACCCCACCCCACCCCACCCCACCATACTCTGTCTCTTACATACTTGGGCTGGTGGTTTCGGGTTTCCTTATCCCCTTCCGCCATGTTGCTCTCCTTCTCTGCAGCCTCCTTCTCTGGGGGTTCAAGTGTTGATGGCCCCTTATGCCTTGCACGGTGCCGGCGTGTGGGCTCCTCACTGTTTTCTGCCTCACGGGGGCCCGTGCGAGGGCCTCGATGTCGTGGGCGTCGCTCGCCCTTGGGTGCCAGCACCTGCGCAGTGCCCTCCTTGCCCGATTCCTGTGCATGCCGGTGGGCACGGTGGCGCCGGGGCTCGCGCTCAGTGGCCTCCTCCTCTGGGGAGCCACGCCGGTGGTGGCGCCTGTTACTGCGAGCTTGCACTTCAGGCCCTGCAGCCTCCTTGCTGTGACTGCGCCGTGGGCGCGGACGTTCCTCCCTGGCCCCTGTCTCCGTGTTTTCTGTCTTTGGACAGTCTGTCCTGTCCTGTTCACCGCCAGCAGGGGCCGTGGCTGAGGTCTTGTCCCTGTCACGGTGGCGGTGGTGCCTGCGCGGTGGGTCTACACTTTCAGGGACCTCAGTGCCCTCGGGCTTTGACTTGTTCCCCACAGGTCCCCGCAAGCCATCCCTGCCAGGCTCCACCACTAGGGGCCGGTCCATGTGCGTCTTCATGTCTGGCCTCACATGGCGCGTGCTGGCATAACGCAGGCGCTCCTCGGGGTCCATCTCGCTGTACAGTGCCTCACAGCTGGCACGCAGGTTCTGGAGCCTTAGCTGACTGGCCCGCTGCTCCCACACTGAGCGCGCCTTGGCCGAGTTCTGCTGCCTGCTGCGGGGAGACTGTCATGAGTGTCACCGGCTGGCTTATCTCTGCCTCACAGGGAAACCGCAGATGAACACAAGCGATGGAGGGATGTAGGGACAGGGAAGGAGAGGTAACCAATCTTAACGACCTCTGCTGTTGTTGATGGGGGACGGGTTAGAGGGAGGCACAGTTTAGCTCGCCTGTCAGTGTCCTTCTAGACTCCACTCTAGCAGGAGGACAATGGCCCGGAGTCTAAAGGGCGCAAGGGGATGCCAGGTACCAGCATGAGTGGGTAAACAGAATTTCAAGGTAAATGGGAAGCTAGCCAGGAAGGCAAAATGGAAAGGGAGACCATCTTGCAAACCAAGAAGGATTGATGGAGGCACCCCTACAGCCTGCCTTGGGAGCTGGTCCAGGAGAGGCCAGTCAAATGGACACGTATAGAGGCACTTACCCACCGTACCACCCAAGGGAGCATGTGGCCCTGTCATGAGCACAGTTTCTGCTGCATTTTGAAACATTCTGGAAGCCCCCATGATTTGGCTCAACCAATAACAAGGAGCGGAAATCATGTCTGGAGCTGAGAAAACCCTGTTTCACCGCCACCAATGCCCCCTTGTCCCTTACTCTGTAAGGAGCCTCATACTCCACTGAGAGTCAGGCGTACCCTTGAAATCCTCCAGCCACTGGGGTAAGATTTCAGTCTGGTCCAGTCCTTACTGAACAATGAAGGGCCTCATCTTCATTGAAACCTTGCTGGCCCAGACATCTTCCATTCCCACATCTAAAACAGGGAGCTCGCTTCCAGTCTGGGTTCTGAGTAAGAGCATCAAAGGATGTGGCCCCAGTCCCACCACTGCCAAGTAGAGACCTCATCTGAGGCTCTAACCTCATCCTTCCATCTCTGGAGGCTTCTGGGTAACCCTGGCCATGTCTGTGGCATCACTAACAGTAACAGCAACAGTACCAGTGCTCTGGGCTCTATGTCCCCTTCGTACAGCCTTTATGACTTCCTCAAGGGCAGGTACCTTCCATAAAGATGGCCAATGGGCCTAGAAAGAGGGCATGACCTGCTCGGGGCCCACAGTTAGTCACTGATGGAGTGAGGTTCACATGCATATGGGGCAGAAGGGAAGGAGTGCCTGAAGAACACACAATCTCTCAGTCAGCCTCAACTGCGTCAAAACACGGGTGCAAACTGTGCCCCGGGGACCAGCCCAGTCACTGGAATAGACCGGTTAGAGGAAGGACAGCAAATCTTACCCTTTCTCTCCTGAGAGGAGCCAGCAGCTGGCAAGTCTGAGAGCACAAGAGCAATAGAATCTGTGCCTCCACCCCTAGTGAGCCTTGGTGAGGCTGACAGGACAAGCAGCATCTGCTAGTTCAGGACCTCGGCTACTACTTGTCCTCGCCGAGGCCGGGGTATCACCACCGTGATAGCCCTGTTCCAAGAATTCCCACAGAGCTTCCTTGTCCCTGGTACAGTTCATCTCTGTACCACACTGGAAGGCAAGAAAAGGAAGAGGGCCTGAAGATATGCGCCCATCTTAAAGAATCTTGGGAGGACTGATGTCTGCTCACTACCTTGGGCCTCTCAATCAGTCCAACACACCAAGATGGCCCTGGATCCTGAGCCCCTGATCAGCAGAGCCGGGTGGCTCACAGCAGAGCTGGCGGGCTCATGGGAGCCTTTGGGTGGAGGGCAGCATCACGGTTCTCGTCTGTGAAAGGCGGACAATGAAGACGATGGGTGCATGTGCCGGCCTGAAGCTCCGGCTCCGGTACAGGCAGGACTAGGCTCACTCAGACCTAGCCTTGCCCCAGGTACGACCCTCTCTCAGGAACCACACCAGTACAGAAGGAAGACAGGGTGCCTGTGGGACTGAAGGGCATCACTGGGCTGGCAGTGGCCCCTCAAACACTGAACAATGTACCAACTAGCTGAGCAAGGGCCACCCACTCACCTCTGCTGGCTGCTAGAGTCCACCAGCCCCGTGCTCTGGGACCTAATAACACCAGGCTGCTTTTATCTCATCACAAGCCCGTAGAGACCACTGGGCTCCTCCTGGGACAGATTCCTGAGTCTCATTCTGTACATCTGCGCCATCTTGCCCCTGCCCTGGTCACCCTCCAGAGCTTTTCTTTGACCTCTGCCCATTGCGGCTAGGACAGACACCTCACTCTGTCCCTCTTAAAAACTTCACAAACAATTCAAGTATGGCTACATGGCTGGCAGCACGATCCAGGCAGAACCCACCTGAACGGGGCTCTCTAAGGAGCCATGGGGAAGAGCTGCTCTCGTGAGGTCCTGCTCCCAGCCATACATGGAAGGTATGTCCAACTGACACCTCACTTCTGCCACATGGAAGTTACTGAGGACCCAACAGCCTTTCTCATCCTACCAGACACAGGGCCCCAACATCTGGCGACATCTCACACTTGTGAGAAGACCCAGATTGCTCTATGCTGTTGTTGAGAAGGCACACAAAGCGGCCACGAGACACAGGGGCTACCTGACTCTCCACGCAGAGGGCCCAACTACAAATGTTCCTTCTCTAACATGAGAAGACACTGGCAGAAGATAGTACCAGCACCTCCCCTGGGAGCTTGGTTTTCCAGGAGGGAAACAGGGGTCTGTCACTTACAGGTCCTGGCCCCATCCTTGAGGGAAGAACCAGAATCACATCTCCCAGGAAGAGTGACTCAGCCAGGCTAATGTCACCACCATGAAAGCCAACTTGATCAGCTACTTGCCTTCCTTTCTTCCCCTGTGAGCAGAATATGGGTCCCCATTCTGCTCCCAGGCCCTCAGCTCCCAATCAGGAGTTTTAGCACTCCCCTGGCTCTATAGGAGCTTTGCTTATGTTAAAACAAGGGCTGCCTCAGAATAACCTACATAATCTCCCCAAAGTAAGGAGGGGCTAGGAGGAGCCAAGGAATGTCTCCAAGAACCCTCTCTGCCACCCCTGTGCACAGGACTTCATGAAAAGCACAGAAGACCTATAAAGTAGGTCTTCTGTGAAGAAGTCCACAGAGCTCCACCCTATCCAAGAAGTAGACATATACAAGGTACCAGAGAGATTGCACACAGACAAACAGCAGACAAAAGGACAGAGACCAGAAGGGAGAGGAAGGACAAGCTCAGAAAGATCTGGGCCTGTGAGTAGGACTTGGGGACAAAAGGCAACAAGCCCACCATTCCCACAGAAGGCTGGGCTGGAGCTGCCCATGAAGCGAATGACTGGGGGAAGCAGTCAGGTGTGGAGGGAAGGTGTGCGCACACAGTCGTCATGAGTCACAGATGGGGAATCATAGCAGAACCACTCACGGTGAGTTTACGCTGGAGACAGATGAGCTGCGAGATACAGTACCTCGAGTTTGCTTTACAAAACTGCACATGCAAAAAACAAAACATAAACAGGAGTGAGCAAACCAGAGAACGTTCTGAGACACAAGTGACACTTGGGCACCAGGTCGGTGCAGGTGCGGGCTGCAGTGCACATCTGGCAGAAGGCTAGCGATGCATCCACCAGACAGGCACTGGCCAAGGCCAGGGCTAAAGAGAAGCTGAGAACCAATGCTCCATGTGCAGACAAATGAGCCTGAACTGAACCAGCAGACCCTACACAGCTGGAAGACAAGATAGAGTTCTCTCCGGGACCATTCATCACCACAGCCTGGTCCACACAGCCCTAAGAGGGAGTGGTCTGGGAAGAGTTACAGCCACACCCAGACCCGGGCAGGCTGACCTAAAGCTGTGGGCCTCCGATGAGCACGTGGCAAACACAGGAGGCAAAAGCACCCTTACATGTGGGGCTATCCAGGCCCTGCCACCTACCTCACCTGCCTTCCCCACAAGCACCAAGTCTCTGCTCCTAGACCCTCAGTTCCCAAAGCCAAGTCTCATGGCTTCCAGGTCACAGTGCCTCCCCCGCCCCCCAGGAAAGAATCCGGCTGTGTCACTAGCCCACCTTCCATGTGACTAATGCAGCCACTTCCAAGTGACGTGTAAAAGGTTTTCCAAAAACAGAGAAAGCAAAATACCCTTTTCAGTCATTTCCTTTCCCTCTGGCTTCACAGGGACGGCCAGGAAGGTCTCCAGTGCCCCTTTCTAAAGGCCGAAATCTTTACAGTGCAACCTAGAAAGAGTTCACCTTCACACGAACGTGAACAGGCATGTAAGTGCATTACAACGCTGCTGACAGAGCAGCCATGAGTGTGAGACCATGAGCAGAACATAGGACTCATGAGTGTGAGATTCTGAGTGTGTAAAATTGTGAATGGGAGATTATAAACATATGTGTGAATGTGTGTAAGAACATGTAATATTGCAAGTACAAGACTATGTACGACATGAGAGCGATTCCGTGTGTGTGTGTGTGTGTGTGTGTGTGTGTGTGTGTGTGTGCCTAGAAGAGCAGGCAAGGACGAGGAGTCACAGCGGGGAGCAGGAAGATGCCCCCCACTTAGTGTCCTGCTCCTTAGGAGCTTCCACCCGGGGCTACACAGGACTGCACCTCACCCCAGCAATCCTGGAGTCACCTGTCATGCTATCCAGAGGGCAGAAGGCCTCGATCACCATGCATACCGAGGGCCCTTCAGCAGCCACACAACACCCCAGGAGACACAGCTGTGAGGAACACTGCCAAGACGAGAGATTCTCGACAGCCACAGTCTCCCCAGTCTGGCAGCAAACAAGAGGGAACTCACATACAGCGCCCTCTTAGCATGAGTGGCAAGAGTCAACAGCCAATAGCCCCCACACTCAGTACCAGGCACCCAGGAAGGCCTCACGCTGAGTGGCCAATTCCCCAGAACCTCTAGTCACACCACACTCCTGTAGACTGCAGTGCATATCCCATTGTTGGAGATACTCCCCATCTGCCACAGTGTCTCCACGCAGGGACGGGGGCGGGGACGTCTGGGCAGTTTCTTCTGGGTTATGTCAAGGACCTAGACTCACTTCCCCAGGCATTAGTCTAGACAGGAACACCTCCGGGAGTGGTGGCCCTCAAGGCAGCAAGAGCGCTCACATCCAGGAACAGCAGAGAAGGCACGTGCTAAAAAGAACATCACACATGCCGCAGGTCCACATGAGGCTGGGAGCTCATCATGCCACCCTCTGAGCGACAGAGCACCAGCAGCTCACAGAGCTCAGGAGAAGGACAAGGAGGGACAGCTGCCAGGTCTCGTCAACCTCAGGATCAAACTGTTGAATTAAACTAGCCAGCTAGTTAGTAACTGAACTAGCCAGACAGTGAAAAAACAGAGTAGAACACTGAGGGTCCACAAGCCATTTGTGTGGACTGCAGCCATTCTGGCTGACGACTCCCAGGCCAAATGCTTTCTCTATGCTTAGAGACAAGCGCTCTGAAAATGCTATCTGGTGACCTCCGGGAAGGAACAGAACCACTCTGGGCACACACACACACACACACACACACACACACACACACACACAATGCCAACATTCACAACCAACCAATTCCAACACATAATTTAGCAGTGCAGGCGTAAGTCACCACAAGGGGCTGAGTCAAGGCCATGTGCCCAGCCTTGACTGTGGCGGGACGAGTGTGCAGCTTCAGTGCCAGCAGGGCGTGCTTCTCCCAAGATTCACCGATGCCCAGGCCATATGCCTAATTCCGTTACTCCTAAACACTAAATTCCCCCCAAAGTCCCTAGCCCCCATAACATCACTGTGCCTGCCACCCCGCTGGCTGGCAGGGAGACTGGGTCCTCCCAGAGTCCTCCTGCCAATTCTCATCACAGATCCCCCATGCCAAGCACTTGCAGGGACATTTTTGGAAGTGGATGGGCTGCCAAGGTGCCACTGGAACCTTTGGTCTCACAAAGTACAGTTCTGGAAAATTATGTATGACATCTGCGCGCAGACTCCTTGTACCCTGACCCCAACCAGGGCTTCGCCAAAAAAGGAGCACTAGGGTCACCCAGACACCATCCAGTGACTCAGAAGCCCAGCTATCCCTACCCACCATGAAGGCCATGCCTCCACACTCTGCCCACATTCAGGCTGGGGAAAGCCATAAAGTATGCTCAAGTGAAGCCTCTGCTCGGGTTCCTTTCAAGGGGGGTGGCTGTATCTTCACCAGCCCTGGACAAGGGGGTTCTGAGGAAGACATTTGCGCTGCTGCTCCCCAAAGCCACCCCTACTCCATTCCCGGGAGCCTTACGCAGCAATGGAGATGTTGGCAGCAGACATGGGGCTGACTTCGGCCACTTCTTTGGCCTTCTGGAGAGCGAGCTTCTGGTTGGCTGCTTCTTCCATCTCTTCTTCATCCTGTGTGAACAACAAACTGACTGTCTCCTCAGGGGACTGCGGCCACTCTGAGGCTGCTCCGAGTGCCTAGTGCCTCGCCCGCCCTCCATACCCTGGAGCACACATCCAGGCCCTGAGGGGCGGAGCTCCTTGTGACCCAGGATTCGTTCTCCCTAGCATTCTCCTGTCTGTGGCTAGAAGTGGCAGTACCCAAGACACTGCATCCAGGTTGTCTAGCTTGTGCCACCTGCGGCATGCTCCACAAGCTGATGCCGCAGCAGCTGTGCTTGCAGCCAGGCCTTATCCCTGACCTTCCCTACACCGTGCAAAGCCAACACCAGAATTTTTCTTTTTTCTTGCACCTCAGGTTTGTCGCAGCAAATCTGTCTCTCTTCCCATCCACCTGTCCTTCTAGGAGCTCCTGAACCACTTGAACAAAGTTGGCCTCCCCCATGAGGGCAAGATGCTAAGCTCCTCCTGTTCCCACTAGAACCTTCCTTATTCCACCCTCGAGTTTCTCCACCGGAACCATTCAGATTCCATGAAGTCCCACACGGCTACTTGCCATTGGAACAGGACTTACGTTTTTGCAGTTACCTGTCCAGCAAGAGGAATAAACAGCTGACAGACCCTCTGACCTTGGTCCCAGGTCACTAAGCAAAACCAATTAGCTCAAGAGTCCATGACCCAAGAAGGAAGATCTCCACGCTGTTCTTCTGAACTACTGGGTCCCCCAGGGCTTCTTAAAACCCCTAAGCCTAGGCCTACCTAGCTCCCCTGAAAGCTAGCATTCCTCAAAATGTGCCCAAATCTGCCTAAGGAGCACAAATGACAAAAAAAAAAAAAAAACCTAAATTCCCAGTCACTGTCCGAAAAATTCCTCTACAGAGTCAAGCCTCAGGCTCCAGGTCCAAGGAAGAGTTAACTAGTTCCCCCATAGAGCACTTCCAGCCATGCACTCTTTAAAGACACGAGACCAGTCATGATTTATAGCCCCCTGGGAAGGAGCCCCCCCCCCAATCACTTCAAGGTATATACAAATTGCCCTAAATATCTACAAATAATCCAGTTTGACTTTATTTCTACCCCACAGAAAAGTAATTAGTGCTGGAACACATTTGCAGGTGTGGATGGGCTATTCAGCGTGCCCTGCAGGCTCATCTGTCAAACGCTTTGTCCCTGTTTAGGAAATGGACTCTAGCTGGAAGGCACAGGTCACTAGGGAATGTCACCAGATGCTGTACCATGGTCTGGCCCCTACCTATCCATCTCTACTCCCTAGCCACCAATAAGAGGGGCACTCTGATGCGCCACAACTTTCTGCTATGACCTTGGACTTTGCCACAGACCTAGGGACAGCAGAGTCAGCCAATAATGGACTGTACCCTCTCAAACCCTGAGGCAAAATAAAGTTTTCCACCTATTTATCCTGCTTCTCTAGCTTTCCTGTCACAGCAGTGAGGAGCTAACACAGAATGGACTAAGCCCTCTCTTCTAGGGCTCCTCTCCAATCCAGGCAGTATCATGTGGTCAGACAGACAGGCCTCCATTCATTGCTCTCAATTCCCAAGGTGGAAGGATTCCTGTATAGGATCCAGCGTGCAGAGTTCTGTATACAGGAAGGTCCCTGAAGACCCACAGGAGAACATGAAGAGAGACATCAGGACTCAAGTGTTCTCCTGTACAGGAACTAAAGTTGCTGGTGTCCCAGAATCACTAACGCCAAGGACAGCTCTGGAAATGCGTGGGTTCCCCCAGCCCATGCATTCCAGCCAGGAATCTGGCCACAGCAGGATTGTAATCATCAGCACAGGCCAGACGGGACAAAAACAAGCAAGCTGGTGGAATTCCTCGGAAGCCAGGGATCAGAGCCAAAGCGGTGTCCCAGACCTCAGACACAGCCTAGGACTGCATGCGGAAAGAGGGGGCTAAGTAAAAGCTCACGGCCACTACACTGCATCAGCCAGGCCCCCCCAAGCGTCTAAACCCACTTTCTTCAGACCCAGAGTGAGGAGAACATAGCACTGAGGAGGTCAGACTTGGGAGCTGTGCACAGGTGCCAACCTGAGCAGCAGAGAACACACAGACCCTACAGAGACGTGGTTCACGCACACACATGACATTTGGAATGCATGTGGTTGCAGCCTCCATATTCAAGGCAGAACTTGAATCAAAACACAAGCCTAAGGCTGACAGCAGGCAGCCTAGCTCCCTAGCAGGTAGCAGGACACGAGACTGAGGGCTACTAGACAGGGGGTGGTGTCTTCTAGAGGGAAACCAGAGAGAGATGTGTATAATCATGACCCCCACTGGGGCTTGTATGTAAGAAATGAATACTGAATGGTGCCTGCTGGGTTCTACCTAGAGAAGGAGCTGCCCTGCTGTGACACAGATGTGCACAGACAGAACCACCACTGCTCCTCCAGCTTCCAGCCGAGCTGAGCATCTGAGGGGAGCACCCCAGGAGTCCTCTCACTGCCCTTTCTGGCTCTCAGAGCTGAATGTTTCCCGGGGACCACGCATACATCTTGTCTGGGAACGCTGCTCGTCCTTGTCACACGCCTGCTCAGATCAGCCTGTCTCAGGACCCTCTACTTCTGTGACTCAGGTAGTCCTAGCCAGTCTGTACCTCCATAGCTTCTCCAGGAGCCTGTCCTCACATGAACCTATTTTTATGGCCATGTCCCTCCATGCTTCGGTGGCGATCCTCTCATTAATGTTTCTTTGTTCATGACTTTGAGGAGACTCCCTGAAGTCACATGAACCCTGGCCCAGGAGCTGACCTTCCCCGTAACTCCACATGTATCCGGTAACATGTACTGAGTCCCAGACCTTCTAGCACCTTCTAGGCTGCAGGCGGTGTTTCTACATACCTTGGTTAACTCCTGGGCATTGGCAAGGTTGTCCACAGCAATGGCTAGGAAAACATTCAGCAGGGTGTCTGGTTGGCTCCAGCTAAGGAAGGGAGCCCTCTGTCCCACACACTGTCCCATACCGTCCACCACGGTGGCCCATGAAAGACAGAAGAACCATTTATCTACCAAGTCCTCAGTCTCTGTTCCCTGACACCATCAGACCATTCTGGGCCCTGTTGTACCATACGCACAAGGTCCCCTCCCCCAAGGCCTCTGCTCTCATAAGCTGGATGGCACCTCTACAGTTTCCCACGGTTCAACCTTCTCTAACACACACACACACACACACACAGAGAGAGAGAGAGAGAGAGAGAGAGAGAGAGAGAGAGAGAGAGAGAGAGAGAGAGAGAGAGAGAGGGGGAGAGAGAAAGGGGCGGGGCGAGAGTACGCTCTTTTCTCATCTAGATCTTTGGGGATGGCACTGTAGAACCAAAGATTAAAGGTCATGCTCATTCAGAAGATACACAGAACATCTTCCACTAGCCCCAGTTCTTCTCTTCTCTAGTCTGTATGAGAAGCCTTGAAGCAAACACATCCTGCCTTCACAGGCTCAGCCACCTTCTAGGGGTGTGAAGATAACCCACCCAATCTAATCCACAAACCCACCCATTACCAGCACCTCCCAGGCCCTAGTTTCCAAGCCAGGCTCACAAAACCTCCCTGTCTTCCAAGTTCCCTTTCTGAAATTTCTGTTTCATGTAGATTCCCGGGCACTTTCCTCAGCATGCTTCCCTGAGTAACACTGGAAATGGGAGGGTGGTTACAAACACTGCTCTGAGCACCCAACACTGTACCCACCCTGAACTGGCCCCTGAAGCCCTATGGTGAATGCTACCACCATGCCTTGAGGACATACCTTGAGCCACAGTTACACAGCATGTGTAGTGGTTTGAATGAGAATGACCCCACAGGTACATAGATTTGAGAAATTAGTCACCAAGGAGTGGCATTTTTAAAAGGATTAGGAGAAGTAGTCTTATCAGAGGGAATATGTCACTAGTGATGGGCTCTGAGGTCTCGGGCGTCTAAGCCAGGCCCAGAGTCTCGTTTCCTGTTGCCTTTGGCCCAGACGTAGCACTCTCAGCTCCTTCTCCAGCTCCATGTCTGCCTGCATGCTACCATGTTCCAGGCCATGATGACAACGGACTAAACCCCTGAAATTGCAAGCCAACCCCAATCAAATGCTTCCTTTCACTGTGGAGGTGCTGTGGTCATGGTGTCTCTTCACAGCACTGGAATCCTGATGAAGACAGGGGGAGATACCTGAACTAGATCCCAGAGCAACATAAGCGTCTTCCCTGAATCTCACCAGGACCTAGTCATTCTGCCACTGCCATTCCCACAATCCTCTTCTCACAACAGAAGGGAACTGTTCTTTGAAATGACATCATTGCTATTGCTCAGCTCTTCCCATGTAGGTTACCCTCCTGAGTAATCTCAAGCATTGGTACTGCTAACACACTAGGCAGTGCACTTCCTGGCATTAATCCTGACAACCCAAAATGTTATAGACCCCATCTGATGTCTCCTGACTGTGCACAGGGCCCAGTGCTCACCTGACTTAGGCCCCTTTCCATCCTATGCCTGGGGACTCACCCTTGCCAGGCAGTACCATTCTCCCTATTGCCCTGGACTCTAACCAGCCAAGCAACAACTGGCAGCCATACCAACCCAAGTCAAGCCTTCTGGCTGGGGCCCATGGCCCAGAGCATTGCTACAGGCAAGGCTGCTCAGGGCTCTAGCAGTGCCCATGGGGTAGGACATCACAGCCCAGCTGACACCCAGCAGGATACCTCTCAGCACTACCTACCCTAAGGACTAACCCAACCACACAAGCCTAGAGGCTCTTCCAGGCCCAAGGCAGAGCTACAGGCTGCATTCCTATGTATCAGAAGTGCATCAGAAGCCACCTGAATTGAACAGGAAGGGAGACACCTGATGGCTGACATGCCTGACCTAATGTCAGTGTTCACCTACTGTGATGATTGTTCTTGGTGTCAACTTGACCACATCTGGAATTAACTAAAACCCAAATATAGAGGGCACATCCATGAGGCATTTTTGCTTAATGTGAAGGAGGACGATCCATTTCTAATCTGCATCTTTGAGAAAGATTCATTGTTAATCCAGATCACTTGCACTGGGAGGACCCACCTGGGCCACACCTTCTGCTGGAAGCCTGTATGAGGACATGGACAAAGGAAGCATTTGCTTTTTGTCTACTTGCTGTCCACCCTTGCTAGTAACTCTGTACCTTCACTGGCATTAGAGCCTGCTTCTTTGGGATTCTGGCATCTACTGAAGACCAGCTGAAGCATCCAGCCTCATGGACTGAACAACTACTAGATTCTTGAACTTTCTGATCATAGACAGCCATTGCTGGATCAGCTGGACCACAGCCTGTGAGTCATTCTAATAAATTTCCTTTCAGTGTATATATAAAGATTCATTCTAGAAATTATGTCACTCTGGAGAGCCCTGACTAACACAGCTGTGTGCTGTCACTGCTTTGCCCAGCATGAGGCTAGCTCTGCACTTCCTTTCCCTCTCTGAATCCAGAGCCACACTTAGCTCCCTTCACTGTGTTCCCACTCGCCCTCCAGGCCTCGCTCAGCCTCGTGACAGGGGATGGAACACCAATCCTAGGCTATAAAAGACCCCCCCTTTGCAGAGGTATCTGGAAAAAAATTCACAGCAGTTTGGCTTCCACTTATAACTTGCGTCTGGGCTCTGCAACATTCCACCACATTCTCTGAATGGCTCCCGGACCAGCACATCAGGCCCTGCCTGTGAACTCTCAGGCCCTAACAGACCTATTAACAAAGGCTGGGACTCCAGTTTAGAATCCCAGAGGTCTGATAGCCAGATGCAGTTCACAGAATATTAGCCTGAACCCTGCTAAGGCTCCATTCCTGTCTCACGTGCAGCTAAACCACACTCACACCTGTTTCCTTCAGCCCTCACCCTGGCAGGCTTGACCAGCCATGCAGACTCTTCTTTGCCCCAATTCTCCTCCACACTGCCCCTGCTGCCACTGGGTCTGCCTTGGTCCAGAGGGTGGACATCCCCACTCCCCGCTGACTTGCAGCAAAGGTGAGAGGCAAGTTCTGCAACTCCCTACTTCAGCAGGGGAGTCCAGTGCCAAATCTTAGTCCCTTAAACCTAATGAGGAAGAAAGCTTTTCTTCCCTGCCCATTCCACATCCACACCTTCTTACACGGCTCCGAGGTCATTCAGAGTGTTTCCTGAGCCCCTAGTAATAATTACACAGCCCTCCCCAACCTCTAGACACCCCTTCCCCACACGGCACCTCCACACTCAGGGCTCTGCCCCCTGGGGATGAACATCAGCCACATTCTGAAAGGAACCGCTTAAATACCCCAGCCCTTCTCGGGGAAGCCAGGAGGTGGCCACAGGAAGCGTGCTGAATATGAACCACGCGCACTTAGCCCCAAGAAGGATACAGTTTCCAAACAACGTCAGGACGATGAAGTAAAAGGAAGAAAACATGCCTTTGCTGACGCCACCTTGTGACTCGATCCCATGATACATGACCGCATTCCAGTCCTCTCCTGTCAGGATCTGCAGGAGGGAAAACATAGGACACATCAGTATCACACCCAAGAGCACACATGTACACATGAGAATGTACACACACTAACATAGGCTTGAATCAAGGCACACATACATCAGTGGGCAGTGTGCCCGCGTACACATCTTTAGATGACAGGAATTCCCAAGGTCCAGGCAACAGAGGATGGCACAGGAAGGCAAAGCCGTCTGGAGCCACCCTGACCACACTGTCATTTCACTCCAGACAGCAGGGGTCAGAGGAGGAAACAAGCTGCCCAGTGTCACACGATGGAAGCTAGGCCTTTGACTGCCCAGGTTCCTGCCACCTCTGGCCACACAGGTCCGCCCTCACAGACTGGATAAGTGTGACCTTTGCCCCGTCAGCAAACCTTTATCCCTCCCTGCCCTGCCCCACTTCCTATCCTTTGTTCTGGTTAGATATTCTATTTGATCATTGCAAAGTGGAATTTTTCCACAGAAGTTTCTAATCCATCTGGAGCCCTGTGTATTATGGGAATGGTTATCCTGTTCTTTCTTAATGGAGTTCATTTCTCCAGACCCAGGTTGTGAATACCCTAGCCTTTGTCATTGAGTTCAGTGTTATATTTCTCATAGAACTGGTTTTCCATGGCTGGGAAGACAGCTTGGTACTTGGTAGAAGAGGACCGGAGTTCAGTTCCCACTGCCCACAGCAGCAGCTCACAACTGCCTGTGACTCCAGTTCCCCTCTTCTGACATCTGTGGGCACTCACACTCACACTTACACACAGAGATATTCACATACACAAGGTTTAATTTTTTTTTTAATTTTTTAAAATAAAAGTAAACATCCAAATGGGACTGAGGTCTCCTGATGGGACTTGACAGTTTTGTTCCTCCCACCAGGAATACAATTCCTGACTTTGGCATGTATCATCTCACGAGAGCTTCTTCTACACAGCATACAATATTATCCAGCAATATCAAATTACCCTGAAGCTTGTTTGTTCTGCTCAAAATTACATTTGTGCGACACATCCATGCTGACACTTTTAGTCCTGGGTCAATTGCTTTCCCTGGTTCCAAACCACACACTTCCTCCACTGTCCCTACATGATGAGCACGCTGATGTTGGGGTCATGTTGTCATGACAGCTGGTGCTGCTGAGCCACCTCGCACACATCTGGACCCCATCTGGACCCCTGAGCAGGAGAGTGCAGCTAGGCAGCTTTCGTAGGATGTTAGGAAGTCAGGGTCCAATGGGAGGTGGGAAGGATGGTCACTGTGGTTTTAATTTGCATCTCCCTGGAGGCAGTAAAAACTACAGTTTTTCTAGCGTTTTCACCAGGCCTTCCTTTCCTGTAACTGCAGGTCTGTATCTTAGCCCTCTCCTACTACAGGGTCTTTTCTTTTGTTTCCTAAGTGTTTTCAGTACATTCTAGAAACTAATCCTTTGCTTTGCTGACACTAGGAAGCGCTCCCTGGCTCTGGACTTTTAAAAGTATTTTAATGGTGTCTTCCAATGCACAGAAACTTTATTTTACACAATCAAATTAGTTGATCACAGCCTTTGTGTTGTGCGTTGATATTTTCTTTAATGCCTTTCCTGCCTTTAGTTACTAACACAGTACTCAATGTGTGCACTAAAATTTTAGGTTTGCTTATTTTCATACCAAGTACAATGTAGAAACCCTGCTTATTTTTTTATCTTAAATTCATTATTAGCATGTGTGAGAGAGCAGGAGAGTAAGGGGCACGTGTGTGCTGCAGTGTAATGTGGAGGGGCACATGCATGCTGCGGTGTAATGTGGAGGAGGGGCACGTGCATGCTGCAGTGTACATGTGGAGGGGGCACATGCATGCTACGGTGTACATGTGGAGGGGCACATGCATGCTACAGTATACACATGGAGGGAGCACAAGCATGCTACGGTGTACACGTAGAGGGCACATCTTTTCAGCGAAGTTTTCCCTCTAACTTTATGTGAGTCCTGGAAGTTGAACTCAGGTTGCCAGGCTTGCATGGCAAGTGCTCTTGAGCAAGAAGCCACCTCACAGCCCAGTTTCACGTTCTTCTGTATGAGTGGCCAACTTCTCCATGCCCCATGCAATTGCAGCACATATATTTTATTTCTAATGAGTATTTTCCTTAATTTTTTTTCTTATTCTACTGCAGTAAGGCTGCTGACACTAATAGACTCTCCTAGAATGTCCCGCGCCTGTCTCCGCCCTGCCGGATAGCTTGTCTCGTGTTCTAATAGCCTGGATAACACCATGACTCACAGTCAAGGATTTCCTACCGTTAAGTTTGCTTGTATTCCACAAAGAATGCAAGTTATTTATACAGACAGTTTTTTCTTTTGTTTCTTATTATTTTATGATTCTGTTTTACCTTTTTGAGGGGAGAGGTGTTCCTTGCCATACAGTCCAGACTTTCCTCAAACTCATAATCCTCATGACTCACCCTCCTGATGCTGGAATTACATATGAGCAGTCTGACCTAGTTTATGTAGACAAGTTTAAGTGTGACTAGATTTGACACCTCAGTTTTCTTCTAGATGATTTAGCCTCTGTTTGTGATCATGGCATACATTTTTCTTTTTTCATATCCTCATTTAGTATTTCTTATCAATGACATTTTAGCCTCATAAAATAACTGGGGAACTTTTATATTCTCTATGGGCTACACAGAATTGCAGTTCCTTTTAAATATTTAGGAGAATTCCTTTCTAAAGCTGTCCTAACTTTATGGCTTTGGCCCAGGCCTCCTATTTTCTTTCAGGTCAATGTATTTTCTCCTTCGTGGGCACCTGAGGTGCTTTCCGTTGCCACTGGGCACAGTCCTACAGGACATGCTGGTCCTCCCTCATGCTGAGTCACAGCTCTAAGACCCAGGACTCCGGGCTCTGAGACCGCACCCCAATATCCCACAGTTACTTTCCATGACCTTCTAGTATCTGTCACTCATGAAACACCATCACAAGAGCTGTCTTTTTGGAAGGCAGCTGTGCTTGCCACTATACCACCAATGCACACCAAGAGCTGTCTTTCTGCATGAATGCTGTTCCAGGGCAGCCCCTGGGGTGCAGTCTTCTACACTGCACAATGTCCCAGTCTACCCTCTTCACCCTGCTCAGCCTCTGTGAACACATGTTCTAGTCTGCCCAGCACTAGCCGCTCCTCTCTCTTTCCATTCATTTCCTTTTGTAGTTTCTGGAATTGAACTGGGGGTTGGAGCATGCTAGGCAAAATCTCTACACTCAGCTGTACCCCCTGCCCCTCTGATCTCCAAGCCCAGCACATACAATGCATGAATCCCATCTCCATGACACACGCAGATGGGCATCTCACTCTAACCCAGCTGCCCACCGTCACATAGACAGTGTCCAGAGTGCAGTCTGCCTGCATGTTTTACTTGAATTGCTACAGCTTTAATGTCTAGGATTTCTGCTTAGTTCTTATTCTTTGACTTAGATGCTTTTCTTCAGTTGGGGGATTTTGGGGAGTTCTTCCGTTGTCCCTTGACTTGGCCCAGAGTCAGATGCACTTGAGCTCTTATTCCCTTTTCTTTGAAAGTAGTCGCACCTCCCTCCCAGGGTGTCAGCTCTTCACAGTATTTAATTTGCACCCCTCCTCCCCCCGCCGTGAGCAAATTAGAAGTTTTCTCTTTCCTCCTTTGCACCCTCCCATCCACACTTTCATCTTAGTCCAGAGACAGGCTTTCCCTTCCTGGGTCTTAAGACTCTGGTCTAAGACATCCTGCTGAGGACGGGCTAGCCTGTCAGCATTGCTGGCCTCCTCCAGTAATCCGTGTCTGGCCGCATGTGCACCCCACTGATGCAGAGCATTCAGATGCTCTCCGCTGTGCCGCTGCTGTGTGCGGAGCAGCGGGTGTGCGCAATCATGATGGTTAGTTGTTGCCAGCTTGACGCTCCATTAAGGAAAAGCCTGCATCAGATTGTTCTGTGTGGCATTTTCTCTATTGCTGATTGGTGGATGTGGGAGGTCCCATCCCACTGTGGGTGGCATCACCTCTGGGCAGGGTGCTGGGAGTTGTGAGAAAGGTAGCTGACCGCGAGACTAAAAGCGAACCAGGAAGCAGTTTTTCTCCTTGGCTCCTATGGTTGCCCTTACCCTGACTTCCCTCACTCAGGGATGAACAGTGACGGGCAAGTGTAAGTTAAATAAGCCCTTCCCTCTCCAGTTGCTTTTGGTGATGGTGTTGATCACGGCAGCAGAAAGCCAACTAGAGCAGAGGTGTAGTCCGAACCCGGTGCGCAGAAAGAAGCAGTTCTCCTGTGCCCCTGCTAGGCTTAGTTCCTCGTTGACAGCAAATGCAAAGAGCACAGTCACAATTAGCCTGTCACCCGCCATGGTCTGGAGTCACACCAGAGCTGCCACTGGGTAGCACCTGTCAAAACCTAGTTGCTTACAGGGCCCTCTAACCTGGCCTCTAAATCCTTGGGCCTTGGTAAAGGACTGCTCTCTCGACTACATGCTCACTGCAGGCGTTGGGGTGTGGTTCTCCCAGCTTCCCTTCCTTGGTATTCGGGTACCCTAGATCCATGAACCATATGAAGAAGTCTCCCTCCCACCGTGAACATCTATTCCCAAGCAGACACAATGCACTCTCCAAGGACCCAGGATGGGCAACATTCTTCTGTCTCTAAGGGCTGACAGGCCCAATCCCACACTAGAGGCTCACACTCGGGAAGCCACTGTCCTGTTAGCAAGCCAAAGGGAGTCCGTGAAGAAAGGACAGGAGCACTTGGAATCCAAGGGTGGGGCAGGGCCCAAATGCTCTCTTAGCTGGTCATTGATTGGGTTTAGATCAGCTGCTGGAAACACACCCTCCTTCTGACAGGGAGCAAAGGCTCTTCCACATATGTGGACTCAGCTCTGGGTTAGCTCAGGCTCTTCAGACACCAAGATCTGAGCCTGACAGTTTCCCTCCCAACAGTCATTCTGTCCTGGTCTGTCTCAGACAAGGTATCCAAGCAGGAATCATGGGGCACGTACACAGGATACCACACGATCAGCGAGCAACATTAGCAGGCTAACTATCAAAGGAGAAAGTAACAACCAAGAGAACCCAAAACCAAGCTGTCCAAGAGAGGAGGTGACCCCTGAAGCCAATAAGGACCTCATCAAACAATGGGCCCACAGCCACAGCCTTCCAGGGGACATTGGTAGGCACATACCAGAATGAAAGCGAATAGGGGGCCTCTGGGCCTGAGACCCTACAGAAGTTCAGGAGAGCTTTGGTTTAGCTCTGAGGGTAGAAACCAAGTGGTTTCAGGCCTCAGAGCTGAGAAAGTGACGAAGTAGCTGCTCGTGAACACAGACACCCAAGGGATCTCCACTTGCTCCCAAGATTGGCAACGCACCTTCCCTTGACACCCAGACCCAGGACCTGCCAAGGCTCATCTTTTGTTGTGCAGTTACGTTTAAACATGGGCCTCTAATTTCACTCACTCTGTCCTAGCTCCTGGGGGAGACGAGAACCACGGAGAGCGCAAGAAGGCTCACCTGAAAGACAGTGAGGATGGCAGCTGGGAAGGTATCGAAATTGGTGGTCGGGGTCTCATCTTGAAAGTTGAACCTGGGGGAAAAGAGAAGTCTTGAGAAGAGCAAGTCCCGTTGGGATCCAGGGGACCAGTCCCTTGACATCAATAGGCTCAGCTCTGGAGCGCTCATTATTCTCAGCCCTGCCGGAGGACCTTCAGGAAGGAGGAGGACCTTCAGGAAGGAGGAGGACCTTCAGGAAGGAGGAGGACCTTCAGGAAGGAGGAGGACCTTCAGGAAGGAGGAGGACCCTCAGGAAGGAGGAGGACCTTAAGGAAGGAGGAGGATCTTCAGGAAGGAGACCAGTGGAAATGGCCTGGGGCGGGGGGCACTGTCTGCTCTGAGCTCTGTCTCCCCAGGAGCCTTGGCCTGCCCTCCTACTCCGGGCTACTTACTGTCCCCCAAACAGCTGCATCCCCAACAAAGCAAAGACCACAATGAAGAGGAAAAGCAGGAAGAGGAGGCTGATGATGGACTTCATGGAGTTGAGGAGGGATACCACCAGGTTCCTCAGGGAGTTCCAATACCTGTCAGGCAGGAAGGATGAAGGAAGCCTTGCTGGACCACTCCAGGGCTGCTTCCCACTCATCCAGGCTCTCTGCATTCAAGCTGAGCCCCCATCTACACACGAAGCATGCACCTCTCCAGGAATCAAAACCCACGATCCTGGACCCTCAGTCCAGCCGTGGGATAGCAACAGCATACACGTGTCTGCAGTGCTGGGCTCCCCGGCTTTTCCAAACTGCACCAATTCTCAACAGAAGATATCACCGCCTATCAGATGGCCAGGCCCAAACCTAGACTTCCCGCTCCCCAACACCTTCCTGATGCTGCAACCCTTTAACACAGTTCCTCCTGCTGTGCTGACCCCCAGGCATACAATTATTTTCATTGCTACTTCCTAACTGTGATGTTGCTACTGTTAGCAATCATAATGTAAATATCTGAGTTTTCCAGTGGTCTTAGGTGACCCCTGTGAAAGGGTCACAGGTTGAGAACTGCAGCTCTAGGTCCTTCACCACTCAATGTCCAATCGGTCATTGTTATAGCTGACCAAGTTATAGCTGACCTGATGCTTCTTAAAGCCCCTTCACCACACTCCTGGGAGAGAAAACGCAACTTCCTCATTCGCAGGCAGTCTTCATGGCATACAGGGCCCACCTATATCTACAATGATTCTGCTGTTGAGTGGTAGCTCCAATTGCCATCCTAGCCTCTAGAATGTTTCTCCCAGGAGCCTTCAGATGTCCCCAGCATCCTCTGCATCTTTGCACGTGCTATTCTGCCATCCTGACACAAGGAAGGAAGGACACCAGAACAGATGCCAGGCTCCCTGTGTGCACCCTCTTAGGGGCTCCCTCCCCCTGACCCCATGTCAGGGGCCCAGGCACCCTCCACAGACTCTCTGATTCTGAATCTGAACATGAGTAGATTCAGGAGTATTAGAAAACTCAAGAAGGGCCTGGAAAGAGCTGCCCTACCTCCTGACAAGGGTCACTGACCCCCTTGGGAGCATCTACAGGCCTAAAGACTCTTGTCACGATAGTCCCTCCATGTGCTGTTTACTACCAAGGCTGTATTTACGCCAGTAAACCCCAGCGTAAGCTTCCAGATGCCACCCATCCCCGTGTAATCCAGCCTCACACGTGGCCTCCATCCGTGTCCCCCAACCAGGAACACACAGATGACATACTTCGTGACTTTGAAAATCCTCAGCAATCGGAGAGCCCGCAGCACACTGATTCCAAAGGAGGTTCCTGGCTTGATGGCAGCCCAGACTACTTCAAAGATGCTCCCCACAATCACCTGAAATAGACAGCATCAACACAGGGCACATCTGTACCTTGACACATGTGCAGAGATGGATGAAACTGACACACGCATGCACATGGCCTAGCATGTGCACTGGTCTGGCGGCATCTCTCAATAAACACCCGCCCTGCCTCCTGTCACGAGCATGTGTCTAACAGGGACTTGGGAGCACAGGGGACACAGCACAAGACACAGATACTGTGGTGTCTATCTCACTGCTCTGGGCTCTTCCTATCAACTGATACACTGCAACAATGGCTCTCCAGTAGTGTGGAAGCACTCGGGGGACCAGGAACAGAGCTGGCAGCAGGCTGAGCAGTGAGCCTAGTCAGCAGCCTCCAGGCAGGCCTGCAGTGAATTCTCTATACCCGGATGAACCTGGGATAACTTAGGACCTCACTAGAGCCAGGCAGTCAGGTGGGACACTCTAGAATCTGTCACTCTCAGACACGGTGAGGCACTGTGTGCTCGTTGCTTTAAATCACTCACTATCGAGATAATGTTTCCAGGCAGGAAAAGTCAGCACAGGTTTTAGGGACAAAGTAGAGCACTGTGTACTAAAACCAAACACTATTAGCAGTTTCAGAGGCAAAGAGCAAGCACTGAGCAGCCTGTCAGTGAAAACATAAAGTGCCCTGGACACTGGGAACACTGCCACCAGGACCTACAAGAGGACAAGACAACCAGAGGCGCTGTGTGCCGTGGGCCCCTGGCAAGATGTCCGGCCACACCATTGCCTGCAAATGCGGGAGGAGCAGACAGTGAGCTCAGTAAACGGTGAGGTGAACTCTGCTCCAGAGATGTCCAAGCCAAGCACTACAGGACTGCCTGGACTCTGCTTAGTCAAGGCAAAAACAATCACCAGAAGGGAGCCAGGCCCTGCTGATTCAGAAAGTGCCCGGCCTTCCAGATACCAAATGGTGCCAACGCTGAGAAAGGGGGTCTAAAGACGAATCCAAGAATAAATAACACCATGACTTCCACTCGGATCTGAAAATGGCTTAAGGCAGTTCTGACAGGGAAACCAAAGTGTGACTCCCAACTCGGTCCTGGTCAGTGTGTGCCTCCCAGGCCAGCTGGAAAGGAGTCAAGACATTAGAGTGGACTTTCTACCTAGTCTTGAGGACACTGGGGTGCAATACCAACTCTGTGCTGAGGAAGACATTGGGGTGTACTACCAACTCTGTGCTGAGGAAGACATTGGGGTGTACTACCAACTCTGTGCTGAGGAAGACATTGGGGTGCACTACCCACTCTGTACTGAGGGGGTAAGAGACTGAGGTGTGATCCCTGCTTGTTCCTGAGACGGTGAGTGCTCCAGGAAGCTAAAGGATGCTAACCTTAATGCACCTCAAGGAAACATGAGCAAAGGAGTTGGTTTTTATCTAACAGAATAAACTCCAAGAAGGTTTATAATATAGCCATAAAAATAACCTTCAATGTCCAATATGCCTTTAAAAGAAGTGTATACCAGGCACACCAGGATGGCTGAAAACGACCAAGCAATAAGAAACAAAACGAAGTCTCTGGGGCGCGAGACCACCCAGCAGTGAAGCACATATACTGACTTCACAAGGAAGCTGAGCTCGCTTCCCAGAGCCCACACTGGGTGGCTCACAACCACTTGTAACTCCAGCTCTGGGGACATTCGACACCTCTAGCCTCCGTAGGCACCTACACACACATAATTAAATCTTTCTTAAAAATAGGTCATTTGATTCCCAAAACTCTACTGACAGGGACAGCCTAAGGAAACTGTCCTGCTGCAAAGAAGGTCTTCTCGCAGACAGAGAAAGAGCTCCAGGGGCAGAACCGGAGCCCCGAGGACAGCCATGCTTCCCCCCGGCCAAGTCTCCCTCACTGTCTGCTTCCAGCATTCCAAGTCATTCCCCACGGCTGTGGGCCTTCCACTCATCACCTCGGCAGGGGCCAACTGGACCAATCCCGGGGCTTCCGGCTATGCACATCCTGCATGTTCTATTGTGCGGCCCCACCCTGAGCCTGGTGTCTACTCCCGGGATGAGCCATGGCAACAGCTCTCACTGAGGCCTCTCTGACCCACAGAGGTTAGGAGACGACCAGGCCAGGCCTACCACATACTCTCCCAAAAGGCAAGTCTAGCAGGGCAAACTGTTCTTCTCACAGCCACAGGTACAGCTATCCAAGCCAGATTGCGGGAGGGTGGGATGCTGGACCACAGTTCCCAAAGCTCTACTGGGAAAACTGAATTACTAAGTGACAAGGTCCCAGGTACAGAAGGAGCTACAGAGCATTGCCGTAACTGTCAATCTATACGTAGGATCAGGGAGGAAAGGGCACATCCTTCAGGAAAGCAGCTGTTGACATCTGGCCACTAGGTAGAGCTGGGAGGGGCCTCCCTCTACAACTCCTGTTACCTCCTGGTCTCTCGCAGCCTTCCTGGCTCACACAGGGTCACAGAGCTCAGCCCACTCTGAGTATGCATAGGGGAGGGGCTGTGCACAGCTCAGACTCACCCAACGGAAGGGACCTAGTGAGGCGTCTTACTCACCCCAAAATCAAAGCAGTTGAAGGAAGACCTAAAGTAGCTCCGGGGCCCTAGGCCATACATCTTCAGGGACATCTCTGTGAGGAAGAGACCCAGGAAAACAAACTCTGCAAAGTCTAGGAGAAGTCAAACAAGAGAAGGTTTAGTTCAGGCTCCTCTCACCTGGCCTCTAGCCCAAGCCTGACATCACCACACCTCTGAGCCTTCTGGGCTTGGTCTGTACCCCCTTCCCTCACCCCCCACTCTGGCCACAGCTCAGGAGAGGGATAAAGAATTGAACAGGAGGAGATGCACCAGTCTCAGTCTATAAGGTAACAAACGCTCAGAGTCTGTAAGAAACAACGACAGGATCAACTTAGGAGTGAGCTGCCTCAGGACACTTCAGAGGAGGCTGGGCAGCCCAGTGGCCTTCTGTGCTGGTCCATGTTCCAGTCTCCACTAGGGATCCCAGCCTCCTCCTAAAAGACTCCCACGAAAACTTCCTGGCACCCTTTCTTAGGACCCCAAGAAACCAGGTTTGATAACTTTACACATGTGTCTGTCTCAACTACTACTAAATGGATAACTCTCCACCACCCACTAGTATGGGCTTCCAAAGATACCACCAGTGTTTGCGACCTCTGACCAGGGCAGTCGCTCAGAACCCAGAGCAGAGCCACACAGAGCACAGAATCATAACAAAGAACCAAAGACGAGTTTCCAAGAGTCCTGTCACAGAAAGCCATCAGCCTAACCATCCCAGGGCCTCTGTCAAGGACGTGGGACCGTAAGGAGACATAGCTCCTGATAAGACAGATGATACTCGTTCTCCATGCCAGTGTACCCCGAGATGTGCCTGCACCCACCACTCTCCAAAGGTCAATCTGTGCCCATCCAAATGCTCCATGGGGGCGAGTTTGCAGCAGCTGCAATGCTAGCCACAGCGTCACACAGAGAGGGGAGGCGTCCATTTCATACCCCAAGAGCAATTCAACCCAGCAAGCTTGCCCTCAGAGCCACTGGGAAAACTGTCAGGTACCCATTTCTAACATGGGATCCAAATAAGCAGGAGGAGCCTACTGGAGACAGGACCCTCCCGGTCAGGCTTGACACTGCCCAGGTGACCAACACTCAGCCTGACTGTTCTAGTCAGCAAGTAGTGAGATATAGGGGAAAGCTATAGTGACACCTACCAGCCCGGAACAGCTCGGCAGACAGAGGAGACACACAGCAGAACGAGGGGACCCAACCCTCCTATCTGAGGCCCAGAATACCTTGATACCAAAAAGAACAACTCCTGCGCCATGGAGCTCCCCGGGGAACTGGCATACCTCCACCTATGTGCTAAGGTGAGGCTGCCCACGCACTGAGCTTGCTCTTCAGAAAAATAAACTGAGAGGGTCTGGACAAGAATTGCAAGGAGTTAGCAGAAAGAGGTAAAAAAAAATGCCCTGATATCCTGACACAGCGGCCACAGCATTAGACACAGCCTTCCTCTGAAGCAGTGAAGGGCTCCTTCATTCATCCCTGTATTACTCATTCAATTGGCACCACAGCCGACAGGAGCTGTCATGGGAGACAATACTCACAGTTTTCTGTCGGGCTTGCAAGCTAAAGGGAAGCAGGGAGAGGTAATTCAGTGTGTCTTCCTAAGGTCAGTGAGATGCTCAGTGGGGAGGGCACCTGTCATCTCCTGACAGCCTGAGTGGACTCCCCAGCACCCACATGGTAAAAGGGGCGAATTAACGCCCACAAACTGCCCTCTGACCTCTGAACAATCAGATTTTTTTTTAATTGTTTTGTTTGGGGGTATTGCTTGTTCTTTCTAGTAAGAGGCCATTATGCCATGGAACAGAGGGGTAAGACTTCATAGGGCTCACGGGATGACAAGACTCCACAGTTTCCCCCTTCATAATCTAAGTTTTGGCTTCCAAGGTCCTGGTAGTGCTCTGGGATCATCAGGGGCATGGGTACCCTGGCGGACAGAGCCCATCAGTAGTGTGGCAGCGCTCCCGCTGGTCTGTTCAAGGCAAGGCTCCCCTACCTTACCGTGTCAGCCAAGTTACCAAATAACGCCTCAGACACAGGGCAGAAACACTCAGATCCTGTAAAGGCCCAGCATCCTTTAGCAATTTTCCCTCAACGAGGCCAAGAGAGTCAAGGATTACAGAAAACCACTAAGAGAAAGCACCAAAGGACCAAGGGGCACATCGCCTGGTGGCCTACTCCAGCCTAACCCAACACTGGGGCAGCTCCAGCCTTGTGCTTCCCACACATCAGACACGCAAGCAGACAATGCTCTTCAGCATGTACAGACAACCCTGCTCAGATAGCAAACACCCAGGAGAACTGAAAGGCTGACAAGATTCCACCGGCTTCCTCGTGTACAAGACTGAACAACTGAGCGAGCAGGCATCAGAGTCTTTGGTTCCCACCTAACCCCAACGGTGGGAAAGATGTGAGCCTAGAGAACCAACAGAAACAATGAGCTCAGTATTGAGAAAAGTCCTGGGATATCAAACCACAAGCCCTAGTACACAGGCGCTGGAGGCCAGGCCCTGTTGCTGTATAGTACACACTAACCCTGATCTTCACCCTGCCCTCGGAGCATAAGTCAGGCTGACAGCTGATGCCACCTCTATCCCTTTAGTCTCTACTGCTGCTACGCCTTCACCTTATGAGGCAATAATACATCTCAACACACAGTTTAGGAAGCTATAGCCTAGAATCCTCCTCCCAAACAATATGCACAGGCAGACACGTGACTATGGGGCTGCCAGTGCCTACACCAGACGGGAGCCCTTCAGGGAGGGAGCAGGCTGAGTGGTCCTCAGGATAGGAGTGTGGTAACCAAAGGCCACCATAAGGACGAGCACTCAGCCAGCAGAGGCCAGGATGGAGCCTCACTAGGTCAGATCGGGCTCCCCCAGGAGGACTCAGGCAACTTTTGGCACACAGAGCCCCTCGGGAGAAAGTGAAGGTAAACTGGTCCTATTCCTCCACACCCACTGCAGACAAGAGCAAGCGCAGCTGAGCCCCGAGGAAATGGGAACCACACACTGACTGCAGAACGCTGGTAGATTCTCTGACACTTGAGGGAGGCTGGAGGGGTCGTTCTCTGAGGATCCACTCTGATGTTAGACAAGCATAGGAAGTCTCAACCCTCCAGGGTCCCCCGTCTGCCTTCTCTGAACTGTGGCTGGGGCCAGCTGAACATTACTCAGAGCCTAGTGACTAGTGAGAGGCTCATGATAGGAGACAAGTTGGCCCTGTGGGAAAATGGAAACTCCCCAGTTCAGCCCACGGTAGAGACAGAGAGATCAGAAGAGCCCTGGGAGAATGCAGAAACCCAACTCTGCCTCCCTGGGCATCCAGGGTAGCAGTCGTAGCCTTAGGGCAAAGAGACAAGGAACTTGGTCACTAGATGACTGGGTCTACTAGTCTGGCTTGCCCCTGGTCATCCCTTAAGGATCCCCCATTTCATGTCATAATACAGTCATGATGGGTATCTGGCCAGATCAATTAAGGCTGGGGGATCTTCAGGCCCTGAACACAGGCCAGGCCTGTGACTGTGCAGTAGAGGTGGGGGTGGCATCCAGCGCACCAGGGTCTCCGGGCTACAGAGCAAAGCGGTTGAGAAGGGCCTCCGAGAAGGGTCTAGAGTACGTACACAGGGCAGTGGTGAGCCGCTGAGGCTGATTATAGTGCACCATGGCCACGCACAGGGTGTTCAGGGCCACCACACACAGGACCACCCAGTAGAAGCTCTGTGCTTTCACCATACGCCGGATGAAGAACCGGAACATCTTCTCCTTCCTCCGGAAGTACGATGAGCTCTCTGTCTTCCCACTCTTGAGGCTGGCACGAGCAAAGGGAGACCCTGCAGGACAAGTCTTGATGAGGGCTCAGGGAACAGTGGGCACCCAGGACAAGCAACCACCCACCTACCCACATCCCCCTCAGGTATATACCTACTCCTGAGCACTCAGAAGACATCTTCCTGACCACAGGCAACTAAGCTGCTTACCTCCATGCCCCTGAACAAATTCTATCCCTTTCTCATTTCTCAAGTTAGGGAGTCCAGGGCTACTGGGTATCCCCAAGACCCTAGTCAACTTCCAAAAGGATATCTCTAACACTGGTACCCTCTGCGGTACTCCAAGATTTCCCCCAAAGATATACACCCACCATGAATCTCACCTTTGGAGCTCTGTAGTCTCTGGCCTTCCCCTTTTCCCTATAAACCTGGATCTGCAACCACTGCCCACCTGTTTCTTAAGCAATTCCTCTGGAACACAGATAAATGTGTTTATGCGTAGCGGCAGCTACTAGCATATCCAGAGCCCTAAATACCCATGGTCTAGAAAGTTTGCTGACCCTGCTGCAATCTGACTCCAAATACAACAAAATGGCCACCTCCTCCCACCTCCAACATTCACTGTTCCTGCTCCACCTTGGCCTTCATCTGTTGCTTTACACACTGGCTCCTGAGTTTGAGTCTTGGCTTCAATGTTACCTCTACAGTGTCCTTTTCTGATGCTCCATCTAAAATATGGTCCTCAATCCACTCCCAACAAGGACAATAGCCTCATCCCCAACAGTCACTGTGCTTGCCAATGAGCCCTGTTAACACGGATGGCTTCCATAAATGCTGACAAAAAAGCGAGGCTGGTCTCTGGGTACCTGAAGTTCTGGATGGCTGGGAACAGTGAAGGGCACAGCTGTGTCTAGATGCCAGTGCATCTTTCTTCAAGTCTGTACTACTGCCCTAGTTTCTGCACAGAGGGCCTTGAGAGCAGCTGTTTCTATGTGTTCCTCTGAGAGCACACACTGCACCCCAGCTAAGGGACCTCTGGGCCTGGCAGGGGGGGGGGGTGTCTGTGAATGGATGTAGAGTATATGTTTTTCCACACACAGTGTCTACATGCCCAGGCTTTCAGGGGCACACTGAAAATATTATCAGTCTGGGGAAATGGAGCCAAGCCCCTGAGCCTCTGGAGGAACTTCTCCATAGGCAAAAGCTTTCACGACGGTCAGGACCAAGAGGAAGGTGCAGAAAAAGTCCATCAGCCCACAATGACTTCCAAGGCCTCAACAGCCAATGTCTGGTTCTGGATGTCACAGCAACACACATCCACAGAAGGCTGTGCTCCCTCACAACTCGCCACTGAGCCAGCCTCAGGCTCACATGGGCACCGTAGGTGGCTAATTCCACAAATAGGTGCCGAATCATACGAAGAAGCCTCTGGGCCAGCGCTGGGAAGGGCTGTGAATATGGCACTGTTCTTCCCCACAGGGCCTGGGAAAGGCACCCCTGTACAGACAAGCAAAGATCTGCACCAGGCAGGATAGCAGATGTGTAGAGCAAGGCACTGCCTCAAACCCACACACCTATGGCACACATGGTCATACAGAAACCTCAGTCATACATACACATTCAGAACACATCTAGCTCACTGGCTGGAGACCCAACCAGATGCTCACACACTCAACAGCACCCAGCAGGAACATACATACACACACAGGGCCACTCATAATACAGAGCATGTGCAAACCACTGTGAGCGAGTCACTCAGCAAAGTCTTGGGGGGTTAGGGGGGACAACAAGACCATCCACACCCAGCTCACCATACCATCCAAGAAAGGGGCAGCAACTCCTGTAGGAAGGCCTTACAGGAATGTGTCTTTTTACGACTATCAGCCACACACCATACTCCTCTCCCCTACACTGCCCTTGAAACACCCCTCCCCAGCTCCTCACTCTAAATACATATTCAAGGCATGACAGGGCCCTCAGAGTGCAACCTGAAGCCACTTCTGCTCCTTAGCACCAAAAAAAAAAAAAAAAAAAAAAAAAATAGGTGCTCCAGCCGCAGATACACAGAAGCCTGGCACCCCTGGGCAGGAAGCATAGGCAACAAGGCCAATACCTCTAGGGCACCTTGTGAACCTGGGTCTCTGCTGCATTTTCCATCAGGCAGACCATGTGTGTTCAAATCTGCTGTAGACAGCAGCTCCAGTGAGGTCCCTGGTAGACACACCATTCGCCATGTAGGCTATGAAGGAACCAGCGACTAGGACCTTCTTTCACTCCTCTGTGCTTCCCAGGCGTAGCTAAGGTCAGCACATAGCAGCTATAATGAAAGCACGCATAATGAAAGAAAGAGACACGATCTGTCTTCACGCTACAAGTATGGGAGAGATGAAAATAATCCATGAACAACAGCGGGCCTAGCCAGCTACACAGAGTCCCCCCAATCAACTATGAGGAGCAGCAGTGAATTCAGGTCCTCCTGGGCCCTCATCACACTAGTTCAGAGCCATGAATACACTGATACAGGAGGGGCTACCCCCGCCAGGCTCTAAGGAAGGTATTAAAGACAAAGGATAACCAAGATCCACACCGCCACTGACTACCTAAGACCACCGGAAGAGAGAAAGCTCCAAGCACCCTTCCAGCCTAGCTGGACTCTCTTAGTGGGTGGCACTGAGAGCGACATGGTCCAAGCCCCACGCCAACATCCTCGGGTTCTGTGGGGCAGGGAAGTCATCTCACAGCCCTGTTTAAGGATAGTACCAAGTTAATCAAAACAAAGAGAATCTCAGAGAGAGAAAGAACCTGTGTTGTCTGAGTAAGAATGGCCCCCATAGGCTCATCTCTTTGAATGCTTGGCTCCTGGTGGGTGGAATGTTTGGGAAGAGTTAGAGGTGTGGTCACTGGGGATGGGCTGTGTGGTACCAGGCTCAGTCTCATCTCGCTCAGCCTCCATCTTGTGGATCAGATGTGAACTCTCAGCTACAGCTGCAGCACCATGCCGGCCACCATGTTCCCAACCATGATGGTCACAGACCAACCCTCTGAAATGGTGAGCTAGGCCCCAATTAAATTGAAGCAGAGAGAGAATTTGGGGTTCAAATTGAACATCAGAAAAGCAAAATTGCCAGCCACTTGCTCTTATCTCTACCTCAGTCCGAAATGGAGATCCTGCCTCCAGAAATCTCAGCATGAGACTGTGTCTGAAAGATGTCTCCTCCCGTTTTATAATCCTCTCTAGGGCTGGGATTGGAGTCATGCACCACTGAGATTAAAGGCATGCACCGCCTGGTTTCTATGGCAACTAGTGTGGCTACTGGGACTAAAGGTATGTGTTACCACTGCCTGGTCTGTAAGGCTGACCAGGGGGGCTGTTTTACTCTCTGATCTTCAGGCAAGCTTTATTTATTAAAATACAAATGAAATGCCACTACATTAATGGTTCATCTTAAAGTTGCCTTGATCACAGTGTCCCTTCACAAAAACATAATAGTTGACTAAGAGAGGCTTTTTAGAGAAAAAAGAATTTCATTTCTAAGCCATTCAGTCAGTGAAAAGAGATTAAATAACCAGGTGGACAAACAGTCCCATGATGGCAAGCCTGACCCTGACACTGAGGCAGAAAAGTCAACAGTAACCAACCACTATGATGAAGCCACAGCCCGGAGCCAAGGAGGAGCTGTCCACAGCAGTCCAGGTACCACCCGGTGGTGAACAAGGGAAGGCCCAAGAACCATGGAACACAGAGTCTGCGCCCTAACATCCTGCTGAGGGGCACAAACAGATCAGGGGCACGGTGGGAAAACAGGAAACTATCTGGAGAGGAGCGCAGGAAGCCCACAGCAGGGGCTCAGCAAGGGACCAATGGCGTGCAGAAATTCTGCAAAGGCCACGCCCCCGGGTGAGGGGTGGGACAGAATAAATGGAGACAGCAATTCAGTGACTGAGGTACAGAAGGAAATAAATCCAGGAGAATATCCTTTGCAGTTATGAGAGCAGGTAAGGGAAAGGTCATCTGTGGCATGGAGCTGACAACCAGGCATGGGAACATGACAAGCGCCATTCCATCCAGACAGCAAAATCAAGATGAGGACCAGACAGCACAGAAATAACACAGAGAATAAAGACAGAGCAACCAGGAAAGAAGTCACGTTAGACCCACGACTAGAGCTTGAGGGAAAAGCGAAAGGCAGTTAAATACATCTTATAAAGGAACGTCATGTATGTGCTGGCTGGTCTCATGTCAAGTTCACACAGCTAGAGTTACCTGAGGAGGGAGCCCCAGCAGAGAAGACACTTCCATAAGATCTGGCTGTGGGGCATTTTCTCAGTGAGTAATTGATGGGGAAGGGCCCAGCCCATCATGGGTGGTGACATTCCTGGGTTGGTGGTCCTGGGTTCTATTTGAAAGACCAACCAAGCAACCAGGAAGCAGCACCCTCCATGGCCTCTGCATCAGCTCCTGCCACAGATTCCTGGCCTGTTTGAGCTCCTGTCCCACTTCCTTCAGTGATGAACAGTGATGTGGAAGTGTGAGCTAAATAAACCCTTTTCTCCCCAACTTGCTGTAGGTCATGGTGCTCCATTGCAGCAAAGGAACTCTATCTAAGACATTATTCTAAGAGGAATAAAAACGAGAAAATTGCCATGTAAATGCAATCCAAAAACACTGATAGCAACAACAAAAGAACAGAACAACGGCATAACGTCAGACAAGATGGAGGCCGGGCATTGTGCCTATAATCCCAGCACTCGGTAGGTACTTGGTTACATAGTGAGTTCCAGGCCAGCATGAGCTACTGAGTGAGACCTTGTCAATAATTAATAATAATAATAATAAAGCTAATGTCCGGTGGCGAAAGAAGAGACCCTGTGTGGTGACACGGAAAGAACCGAGGGAGGCACGGAGAGTGCAGCCTCACAAACAAGGCTAGAATACAAGACAACGCCATTTCAGAAGCACGCAGCAGGAACCCCAACAGCACCCCTCCGAAGTGACAGTTCTGCAAAGCAGAGACCAAAGAACCTCATTTAGCAAGCCTGATAACTCTCAGCTACAGGACATAGACTTTCTGTTTCTGCTAATGAAACATTAAGATTAGTTACAAACCTTAATTTGAAAATTTGTAAAATTCAGGAGATTTATAGGCCACATTTCCCAACCATTATCTAATATGATTTTATCAAATTAAAGAGCATCCAAATATTGTGCCTCCTTGTCAGCTAAGAAGCGAACTCCTCGATAACCTCTGGCTCAAAGGGGCAGTAAAGAATATGATGCGGAGGCCAACAAAAAGGGAGCTCTCATGGCAGAGAGGAAGGCACACAACCCAAATGCCTTCACTATTTACAAAGAAAAAAAATGAAACAAATGACCTGTGTTTAAGAAGTTAGAAAGGGGCCGGGCGGTGGTGGTGCACGCCTTTAATCCCAGCACTTGGGAGGCAGAGGCAGGCGGATCTCTGTGAGTTTGAGACCAGCCTGGTCTACAAGAGCTAGTTCCAGGACAGGCTCCAAAACCACAGAGAAACCCTGTCTCGAAAACCCCCCCCAAAAAAAATTAGAAAGGGGCTGGAGAGACGGCTCAGCACTTAAGATTGCTTGCTGCTCCTGCAGAGGACCCAGGTCTGCCCCCCAGCACCCACGCGGTGACTCACAATTACCCGTAGGCACACACTATGCAGGCAAAACATTCATGCACATAAAATAAGTATTTTTTTTAAGAAAAATAAATTTAAAAAATAGAACTGGAGAGAAAGCTCAGGGGTTGAGAATGCTCAGAGCTCTTGCAGAGGTCGCGGGTTCAGTTCCCAGCACCCACATCAGACAGCTCACTCCACCTGTGACTCTAGTTCCAGGAGATTCCATGCCCTCTAGCCTCTGCTCCTGCACCCATGTGGCACAGGTTAACTCACACAGGCACACACACATAAACCAAAGTAAGCATTTTTTTAAATAAATTAGAAATTAATAGACCAAAACAATATAAGATTTAATAATGACAAAACAATAAATTACGAATGAGGAAAACAATAAAATTAAAAATATGATCCAAGAAGTCTAAAGAGCAGGTTGTCTAACATTCATCAGTACATACATGCTAATATGTGATATGATGACAATGACCATATGTCATTCTGTGTGATCCTAATGAGAAAAAAGAGAACCCTGAGGATACTCAGCCAAAAGCAGCAGAGCCATGCTGACAGGGGCTGTGTCAGCCACAGAGCAGCGAGCAGTTTGCACACACAACACACATACACACACCTGTGAGAGCCTGGCCTCCAACAGACATCTACGACACCTGTGCTCCCGGCAAACCAAGACCTTCATGCCCCAACCCAGCCCACAGCCCCTCTCCTAACCAGAGCTCCTCTGCCCCTGCTGTTCCTCAGGCAAAACCCAGAGCTTCCTTGATGGCCCTCCTCCTCTCAGACACACCTGATTGGACCGTCTTCAAACACGTCCGAGCATTTTCATCTCCTCCTCCACTACCTCCAAAGCCAGGCACAGGACCCCTCCTCCTCTTTGATTAGGACAGTGCCCTTCACTAACTGGCTTCCCTGCTTGGGCCTTTCCCCGGATCTCTTTACCCTCAGCATCCCAAGGAGACACAGTTGTTTCCATAAAAGCCAGACAACAGACCTTTAGACCAAAGATGGGCACCTGGAATCCTTGCCCGGACATAGCCTACCTATAGCCTTTGACATTTTTCATGAATGCTAGCTCCATTCCTGGCTCAGGGTATGAATACCTGTTTCTAGAAGGTTCTTTCCATTCTTTCTCAGCTCCATACTCAAGGGTATGCTTTTGTCCTGAGGCCATGAACTGTGACATTACATGGAGACCCTTCAGGTCCTACCCTTCCCGCACCTCCCCTCCTCTGTCACAGCTCCATCTGGTGTGCTACACATCTGACGCCACCCGTCCCATCTGATGCTTCACTGCAATAGACACCCCAGAGACAAAGGGCCCTGATCATCTGTCCAACACAACAGCTCACATGCCTCAAACTACTCCTGGAGCAGGATGGGTGTTTCCTGAATATTTACTGAGGGAATAAACACACAGATGACTAAATGCAAGAGGGACTAAATTAAGAGAATGCTACTTGCAACTCTATAGGAAAAAAACCCATAGATTTCTTAATAAAGTACAAATTACAAAACTGGCCCAAGTCCATTCCACCCCCGTTTTTCTGGGACCACACAGGCTGTCAGTTAAAACTCGCCTATAAATGACTACAGTGTTCTCTTCAGTGTAACATCTTTAAGAATTCCTTTGAGGAATCCTTATAATGTACCTTGATCATAGTCTCCTCCTGCTCCTTCCCCAGCTCCTCCCCACCTCCTCCAAACTCCATGCCGCACCCCCACTCCCCATCTCCTCCAAACTCCATGCCTCACCCCCACTCCCCACTTCCTCCAAACTCCATGCCTCACCCCCACTNCCCCCACTCCCCACCTCCTCCAAACTCCATGCCTCACCCCCACTCCCCACCTCCTCCAAACTCCATTTCCTTCTTTACTTTTTAAAAAATAATCCACCAAGTTCACTTTGTACTGTCTGTATATGCAAGGTTTGGGGCCATCCAGGAGAGTGTGGTCAACCAGCCAACCGGAAGCCATACAATTTTAAGTCTTTAAAAGCATATTACACCACAGTTAAAAAGAAAAAAGAAAGAAAGAAAAAAAAAGGGTTTTCAAAATTTTTAATTTATTTTACAAAATCAGAATGTAGGTAAAATTATGATCAAAGAAAGTTATCTGAATATAACAATAATTTTTGAAATCAAATTTATATCTGTAATATCCATTGGCCTGTCATTACTGTAGAATGAACACAAACAACTCAACAGAAGAGCAAGTAAGTGGCTGCTCACTCCAGGAAACAAGAGGGTCAGAACGACCAGCAGTCAATAAAACAACAGCTACAGTCCCAGTCAAAGACTGCTTTGTGCTCAACCATCGCCTCCAAACTGGGGGTGGGGGAAGAGGATAGAGGTGCACAATGGCGCATGCCCTTAATCCCAGCACTTGACAGGCAGAAGCAAGTGGATCTCTATGAGTTCAAGGCCATCTCAAACAAAACAAACAAAAAACCTGGAAAAAGTTTTTCAAGGAACAGGCACCGAGGTAAAGGGCAAACATCTTTTTGAACTACTAATGAAAGATACTAACGCTGGAATTCTCAAAAGTGCAGACACCGAGGGTAGAGACCCTCGGGAACCTACCCTGGGAAACCTATCTGTGGAGACAACGGCTCTGGTAAGAAAACACAAACACTTACAGTAATTTAGGGCAACAATTCTCATAATGAGAAAAAATAGAAATAAGTAAGTAGCCTGGCTGAGGGGACAGCCAGAAGCGGGAGAGGGGCACACAGTGACAAGCAGGGACCAGACTCCAACTATAACTGTACTCTGGGACACTCGGAAGGACTAGGCAGGCCAGGTGGGGTTGCTGTGTGGCATTGGCATGGCTGGGAGCTGTGCAGGAGACCCAGAGCTGCGTCATCCTGACAGAATGAAGCATACCAACGCTTTCAGAAGGGAAATGCCAAGTGTTTGGGGCACTAAGAGACCTAAAGTTCCTCCTGCTCTGAAGGAAAAATCAACCAGTCTTGCTTCACTACGTGAGAAGGATGGCCTAGAGCCAGGGTGTTACAGCCCAAGCCAAGGAAGACTTGGAAAGGAGGATCAACGGAAGACAAGCGGAACCTACTGTCCCTTTCAACCTGGTTCTCTGACCACAAAAGTAGCAGCACTCAGAGAAGGGTACAGCAGGGAGTGATCAGGCAGCGGAAAGGGAAGACCCAGCAGTATGACAGAAGGAGCCCATATCTGCACTACATATGCATCCAGTTAGGGCCTGTACCGCCTCAGGAGGCGCTCCAGAGACTCACCAACAGCACAGAGGTCTACAAACCGGTCCTCCCCCTCCTCCGCGTGGATCAGGTCATTTCGGCTCTTCTTGGTGGCAGCTCTCTTCAACACTGCTTTAAACAATGGGTAGTGGAGACCAGCGTGAGTTGAGCATCAGGTAACCCATCTCAGGGCGTCTTTCAGCTGTGTGGCACTATCGTGCCTGAGAATGGCCCCTTTATCTCTCCGTTCCTGCACTGACACTGAGGCAAAGCAATTCCCTGACCCTGACCCTTGGGCCCTTCTTACTCCTCACACGAAAAGGACATGGAATTTTAAGGGTCACCCTTCTTTCTCTTTCATCTGAGGAAAGGACACTAGGGAGGCCTGACCACCAAGAAGACAGAGACACATCCCTCTGGGGCCAGGCGAGGGATGCAGAGGTGTAGGTACAGATCTGCTCATAGTGGGTGACCTGCAGAGATGACAGCATGCCATGCTGTCTGGTCCCAACCTAAGCCTGCCTGTGGCTAGAACTGTGCAGGCACAGCAGGTGCCCACAGCAGTGGAGGCCCCCAACTCTACTAAGGGCCCTGGATGGTATCCAAAGTCTTCTGTGGCCTTGGGGATAACCATAACTCCAGAGGCAGACAGATAATCTTAAACCCTGCAGGTATGAAGCTTCTAGAAGCAATGTTGTCCAGTTTAGCTTCCAACAAAGTTAACGTATACATGAGCCATAAGCCCAGGCTGCTCAGATTCTACGGCTCCTGTGTCACTATGACAGATGGAAGGACCTAACATGGCACAGTGTCCCAGAGAAGCAGGTCTCTGAGCGCCCGCTATGTGGGGAGTGTTTCTGAGATCACTTACCATCCAAAGGCGACTTCTCTTCTGCATTCTTGTCCTCCTCTGCCAACATGACTTCCTCTGCGAGGGGCAAAGCTCAGGTCAGGGCCTTTCTACACATCCCCAAAAAAGGGGTTCATCCCAGGGAAACCTGGGAAAGTAGTCTGAAAGCACCTGCGTGCTCCTCTGGACACACCCACTCCAGCAGGCTGTGACTGTATGCCTTCTACCGATATCCAAACCATGCCCCAAGCAGAGGCCCAGCTACCATCACACGTCCAACCTAGAGATTGTCCTGGACAGCAGCTGGAACTGGGAGTTACCACTCAGGACGCATTTCTAAGACTCAGGCAGGAGGGCAGCCCACACGGAAGGGAGCTACCAGCATGGATAGACCAATCCACATGGAAGAGAGTAGCCCACAGAGGTAGCAGTTCACACTGAGGAGAGTAGACCTCATGGAGGGAACAGCCCACATGAAGAGGAGAAACTGCCCACATAGAGAGGGGCAGTCAACAGGGATAGAGATAGCCCTATGAAGGGAATTTTCCAAGGGGAGGGAGCAGCCACACACAGGGGAGCTACTTTACTGGGGATGGAGGAAGTAGGTTAGATTTAGGTTTACAGTGCCCAGAACAAGGGCGATAGAAAAACGCAGGGCAATAGCAGGGTACTCAGACCCAGTGTGAACTGATCCTCCATTCAGAGGGCTTCTGACTATCACGGCCTTTTTCCCCAAGCTCCACCCCAGAGCCCAGGGATTCCTTGATGGCAGCAAGGTGGACAGTGCACAAAACAGAAGTACAGCTGCCCACACAGACTCACCGGCCTTGAAGATCCACTCCAAGTACCCGTTCAGTTCTCGCTCAATCTGCTGCTGCCTACGGAGCTTCAGGAAGGCACGACGGTTCTCTACTCGCTCCCGCTCCTTGGCGAACTCTCTATATCACGTAGGAGAGAAGAGCAAGCAGCTCCAGTGAGCGCAGGTGTGCAGGACAGTGTTGCTTCTGGAAGCTTCATGACTGGAGGCAGGCTCCTGCCAGCGCCCACGTCCTCACCTCACCTCACCCACCGCATGCTCTGGCTCCATTTCTGGGAATCCCTAGTCCTGTGTCGTACTCCTCCCTACTGCTGCGCCTCCAGCCTCCTGTGCTCTGCTGAGCTGCCAACCTCCTGTGCTCCACCAGCCTCCTGTGCTCTGCCAGCCTCCTGTGCTCCGCCAGCCTCCTGTGTTCTGCTGAGCCGGCTCTCATCCATCCTCTACCTGGCTCATTCCTAACCCTCTCTCTGAATCTCGGTAGAGATGCTCCATCCTCGGGTGCCTTCTCAGCCTTAAATCTCATCAGACTAATTCTACTCTGTCACTGTGTAATATGAGTAAGAATGGCCCCCATGGGCTCGTATCTGTGGTGATCTGAGTAAGAATGGTCCCAGAGGCTCATATATATGAATGCTCAGTTATTAGGGAGTGGCACTATGAGAGAGTTTAGGAGGTGTGGTTTTGTTAGAGGAAGTGTGTCAGTGGGTGGGCGCCCCTGTCATGCCCAAAGAGTCAGTCTCAGTTAACCAGTCAGTCTATCTCTGCCTACCCCGCCTCTCTTGCTCTCTCTCTCTCTCTCTCTCTCTCTCTCTCTCTCTCTCTCTCTCTCTCTGTGTGTGTGTGTGTGTGTGTGTGTCAGGATATAGAACTCTCAGCTCCTGCCTGCATGCTGCCATGCTTCCCCACCATGATGATAATGGACTAAACCTCTGAAACTATAAGCCAGCCCTAATAAAATGCCTTCTCCTCTAACAATCTCGGTCATGGAGCTCCTTCATGCCAGCAGAACAGTGGCTGAGACAGTCACCTACACTGGAGGTCCAGGCAGCCCCTGCAAAGGTACCTGCAAAGTTATGCTAGTGATGGCTGCAGCCATCGTGGGACGCGTACAGAGACCAGAACCACACTGGCGCTGGAGCATGCTCCTCTACTTGTACTCTTTATCCTGGCAGCTGCTTTGGGTCCACCAGGCTCTACTGCCATCCACCCTGGAAGCCAAAGGCCTGGTCATTAGTCTTCAGGGCGAGACGAATGGAGCCATCCAGAGAATCTGCCGCTCAGGTAGGAGCAGAGTCAGGTCAGGCCTGACCCCATACCATCTTTGTGATATAACTTCCTTGGCCAATATAAGCCCAGGTGCAGAACGGAAGGGTGCTATGTGCCCACGGGCCCGCCTCACAGCCCATGGTTCTTACCCCGAGAGCACACCCAGCACTAGGTTGAGCATAAAGAAGGAGCCGATGATGATGAGAGGGATGAAGTACAGCCAGTTCCAGGTGTTGCCCGCTGCATCATTCGTCTGGAAAAAAGGAGGAGATGAGAAAGTCGGCAAACCACATCCGGGTGCTTGGCCTCCAGGCCTCCTCAGGAAGGTCCAGGCAAGGAGTCTGGGTTTGGTCAGACCTCTTCCTGCTCCTCAACGCCTTCCCTGAACAGAGGCTTCCAGAGGACCAGGAAAACCGCACGTCTCCAGCCAGGAGCAAGTCCAGAGAGCCAGAGGCTGCCCAGGATACACTGAGGACTACTTGTCTGGCCTCTGTCTGGTAGGACAGTTATTTGAAAGTATTGATGGCCTCCCTGAGCAGCTCCCAAGATACTTCCTCGTAAATGGAGCCCCATAGGCTCCATGGTTAGGGTTAGTCCCATCTGAGCATATCTTCAGTAGGTCCCCAATTCAGACCACAAGGGCCTCCACACTGCATTCTCCACTAGCCTGTAGAATGTATATCTCATCCCATGCCTGCTCACGATGGCTCAGCACCCAGGCATGATCTGAAGAGCTGAAAATGTAAAGGCCATCCCCTTTGCTTATTATAACAAATCACACTGAAGAGAAAGCTCTCAGGAACCCAGCTTAACTCCACAGCTGTTTTACTGTATGGACTCCAGTGGACCTGGCTGAAGGGAGCGGTGACTCTCTTTCTCCATGTGTATCTACGGCGTGGAGTGGATGCTGAGGACGGGCACCTTTCGGTAGACAGCAGGACACCTGAGCCCTGCTCCAAAGCTAGGCACCAAGGCACTTGTCAGGATCTCTGCCCTCCAGCCTGGCAGATTTGCAGGCTCTGTTCTTAAATAGCCCTAGACACCTAGCAGCTTAAAACTTCTGAACACTGACTGCAGGCAGTCACCAAAATACCTGTCTCAAACTCAGAAATGACACTCAGAATCCCAGCTCTCAACTGTAGTTCATACTCCCATATCCCACACCTCTGCACAAACATACCGTGCCTCTGACTCATGGGCGAAACAGCCACGGAGAGCAGCAACCTCCCTGCAAGTCCACCCTCAGAACAATCCTCCTTGACAGCACTGCTGCAGCCCCGCCCGCCCCTCCCCCACAGAGCACTCATATTTCTCCTCGTAGATGGTAGATCGTCCTCTCCACGAGCCAAGCCACTGCACTTTCTCCCTTCTTCAAAGCAAAGCACCAGGACTTCCACTTCTGGGAAGCTAAGTAGTCACATTCTCCTCCCTGCTTCTACTAAACAGGATCGATTCTTTTGAACATTATATAGAAGGAAGCATAGGAAAGTTCTAGAAAAGGTAGACCAGCTCTGACCTCAAGACCTAAGGGGAGCTCCCTGGGTTTTGTTTTTACCTCATATACCCCAGACTTCAAGCCAAAGAAGCTGCACCTCCATTCCTTTTATGAATTGTTGGCCAGAGCTAAGAGACCTCCAAAGTACACAGCCTATTGTTGTTGCCCGTGGCTACCCCCTAGACATGGAAGGTAAGTCCCTATTGCTAAAGAAACCATGTACTTCAGAAACAGGGCCCAGAGACCCCTGAGCTAGAACTTTCAATCCCCCCTCCCTTATGGTACCAGAAGGTGCCATGCAAGTTTCCAAAGGAGGTAGGCAACCAACAGTCCTGCACAGCTATGATGCCTATGAACCACATAATGGCCATGGCATGACAACCCTAAGGGCGCAGTAGTGGCACACATGCCTGGGCGGTAACCAGTAGCTCTCTGATTGGACTTAAGACCTGCTCAATAAGGCAGATGCCATGCCTAGTACTGGAGACCTAGTTAACTACTCAGTGTCAGTGAAGTCATGGTTATTGGAGGAGAATCTACAGCCACTCCACTAATTTACTAAACCAGCATAATTCCTAACAAAATGCTATAAACATCTGTCCTTATACCCACAGATAAGAGTAGTCATCAACCTTCATCAAGAAAACTTCTCTTGCAACAGATGGGTACCACTACAGCAAAACATAACCAATTAAAATGCAGGGATGTGGAGCCCATACATCTAAACCACGCCATACCTAAGAACACTGCAGAGAGGAGGCAGAAAGACTGTAAAGAGACAGAGGTTCAGTGAGTTTTCTGGAGACTGTCTCCTAGGAACATCAAAAGCATACATGCAAGCACAAAAACACAAACATGAACAACCAAAACAGTATGTCTCCTTCAGAAGCCAGCAACCCTGATCTTAGGCCCTGAGAAAAGCAATTTAGCTGAAGCACAAGACAAGAACTTCAAAATTGCAAGTGTGACTATATCCAAAGACTTCAAAGAGGACATGTATAATAACAAAGACCATGAAAAAGATGAATAGCTGAAGAAAATAATGAAGACAATTCAAGACATAAGAATATAATTTTTTGCATGCTTTTCTTTTTTTAATTAATTAATTTATTTATTAAAGATTTCTGTCTCTTCCCCACCACCGTCTCCCCTTTCCCTCCCCCTCCCCCAATCAAGTCCCCCTCCCTCGTCAGCCCAAAAAGCAATCAGGGTTCTCTGCCCTGTGGGAAGTCCAAGAATATAATTTAACAAAGAAATAGAATCACTAAAGAAACCCAGAGAATCAAGCTTGAGTAAAATGTTAACACCAAAAAAGATATATATGGTATTTCTTCCTACATATACTAAAATCAGAAATAACACAAGTAGTGAGCAAGCTCCTGTTGTCAGAGCTCTAGAGGAGCTCCTGTTGTCTAGAGACAACAGACAAGGAAGTCTGACTATGGAGGGCAGGCAATCATCCAGGGTTGGAATATTCTGTGTCACATCTGTGTTAGGAGCAAAGCCCCAGCTGTGATATTGACTATGGTCTTTGTGATGATTGATATTGGCTGTCAATCTGACCGGATCTAAAATCAACCAATTGGCAAGCTGCTGGGCACTCCGATGAGGAATTTTCTTGACCAGATTATCTGCAGTGGGAGGAACCTCCCTAAATGTGGGTGGCACCTTCTGGGAGTTCCCAGATAAAAGGAGACGGGCAGACCTTCACTCTGCTGGCAAGTTCATCTGTCCTATAGCTGTCACTGCTATATGTCTCCGCTAATATTAGAAACAAATTCTCCAAGCTTCTAGTGTAGAACGAGGACCAGCAGCTCTCTAGAACCTTCCAGGCCTTGAGCACCAGGTTAGGACTGTTGAAATATCTTACTGTGTTGGACTGAGCAACCAAATTCTTGGCCTCTCTTGTGTGGCACAGTGGTTGCTGGGACAACTCAGAACAAATCAAGTGAGCCAATCCATAAGTTATCGTTTAGTACATATTCATTCCACCGATTCTGTTCTCCTGGAGCAGTGGTTCTCAACCTGTAGGCTGTGACCCCTCTGGGGTCCAATGACCCTTTCACAGGGGCCACATATAGATATTATGCATATCAGATATTTACATTAAGATTCATAACAGTAGTAAAATTATGTTATGAAATAGTAAGAAAAATAATTTTCTGGTCACCACAACGTAAGAAACTGTATTAAAGGGTCGCAGCATTAGGAAGGTTGAGAGCCCTGTCTAACACAGTCTTTCAGGTTATTAGTACTGAGAAGAGGAGAAAGGGCAGAGATACGCACGGCCTTTCTGTACAGCAGCTGGTAATGTCACAGCACTCTACAATGGACTTCACTTTTCCACGCCAAAATCCCATCCGTGTAACTGGGCATCTTCTGTGCCCACTCCCACTGTTCTTCTCCCTAGACATGGCAGTCTGTACTGGCAGCCTCACTTCTTTGCCCTTCCCCTTCAGCCCATGCATCCAGGATTTCACCCACAGCACCAAGAGTGCTCTGGCCGAGGCTCCCTGCAGCCTTCATCTTCCTGTATACTAACGGTCAGATTTCTCTTCCCTGGTTCTTGGCCCCAGCAACATCTGGCTCCTCTTCTTCAAATGTTCTGCTCTGCTTCCAGGACCAGCTCCTGGCATTCCTCCTGCCCTCCACAAGCTCCACCACCACTCTTTGATGGTTCCTATCTCCCTGGCCTCCAAAGGGAGACTCCTACTAGGGAGAAACGGTAGGCATCTTTCTGTCACTGCCCTCACTATCCAGGTACTCTCATCCTCTCCCATAATGCTCTATTTCTCAACACTGTCCACGTGTTAGTAATTCAGTGTACATCCCATTCCTCCGCTCCTTCTGAGCTCTCTTCTAGGGTGAAAATAGTTATTGACAACCTTACAGAGTCAGAACAGCCACGAGCTGCCTACCACTCTCCACTAAAGCAAAGCTAGAAAAGCACCTGCCCCCAGCTCTTCTCAGCCAATGGCAGCTGCTTTCCCAGGAGCTCCAACCACATAACCTCTGCATCTACTCTTGTCCCCTCCTCCCATGTCCATCAAGAAGCAAGTCCTGCTTCTGTGAACATCAAATAAAGCCTTATACCCACTCCTCAGAATACTTCTTTCCTGAGGTATGTGTAAATAGCAGGCAACAAAGCCACAAAGTGAGGTATTATCCCATCATTCCTTGAGCTTTTCTCATGTGCCTGCCTGGATAAAAAATTTAGACAAGTCCCATGACTTCTCCAATAATACCTCTGGCAATCTGAACAAGAACGGCTCCCATAGACTCATATATTTGAATTCTTGACCCCCAGTTGGTAGAGCTGTTTGGGAAAGCTTAGGAAGTTTAGCCTTGTTGGAGGAGCTCTGTCACTGGAGGTGGGTGCTGAGGTTTCCAAAATCCCATGTCATTCCCAGTTAGCTCTCTCTCTGCTTCGTGCTTACGGATCAGGTGTGAGCTCTCCGCTAAGTCTCCAGCTCTATGCCAGCCTGCCTGCTACCATGCTCGCCACCAGGATGATGGCCGCACCCTCTGGCACCATAAGCAAGCCCCAGTTAAATGCTTCCATCTTTAAGCTGCCCTGGCTCTGGTGCTGTGTCACAGCAGTAAAAAGTAGCTTAAGACAGAAGCTGGCACTGGGACAGAGATATTACTGTGACAGGCCTGACCACACTGTTTATTGGAAAATTGGATACAACTTTGGGACCTTGTTCCAGGAAGGTGGCTGTCCGATGTAACCAGGGATTAGTGAGCCATCCTACAAGGAGCTTAGAAGTCAACAGTGCTGATAGCTATGTTGACTGTGGTTTCAGAGGTGAGCAATATTAGCAATTAGGATAGAGAACATTCTTATGTTATTTTGGCAAAGAATGTGGTTGTTTACTGCTCCTGTCCTGGGAATCTGCCCAAGGCCACAGTGAAGAGTTCTGGTCGAGTTTCCTTGGCAGAGAAGATTTCAGACAGCCTGATATTGATTGTCATATGGTTATCAGTGATGACTCTTACGCGGTCTACAGTGAAAAAGAGCAACTGGGGCAAAAAGAAATACAACTGTAAGGTGTGAGGAGGAAAAGAGTGCCAAGCTTTGTGCTGAAAGAGGTAGGAGAGGGGAGAAGGGAATAAAGGGAGTGATGCCCTCAGGGCCAGACTCCACCCAGCCTGCCACTTGTGAACAGAAAAGGCCTAAGGAACTATCTGTTCCTAAAGTCAAAGCTCACACAAATGTAATTCAAGAAGGGAGCCAGGTTCCAGTCCAAGCAGGCAGTAGAAGTTGGTAGCATTGGTTGTGTGGTTCTGGCTTTAAAGCCATGATTGGATACAGGCATAAAGGGATCATGGACTCTTCCTCTGCAGTTAAGGAGAACTGCTGAAGCCAGATGTGTGGCAGGGGAGTCCCTGCATGAAGGTCCAGAGAGACCATTGAGTAAAGTTATGAAAGCAAGGCCTGGATTGTGCTGGAAGACTCCAAGACATTGGATGTGCCAGAACCATGGGATGTCTGCCAGGAAGAGCAACATACAGGGAATGGACCCAGCCTAACAGAGAGAAGTGTGCTGCAGTCAGCAAAACTGGAAGGGCAGAGCCATTAAGACTTTGACAACAAACTTGGATCTATCCCTATAGGTCTGGAATCTGCCCTGCTGGTTTTGAGTCTTGCTTTGGTCAGTATTTCCTCACTATGCCCCTTTCCTCTCTTCTGGAATGATAACCCATACTCTTTGCCACCATATATTGGAAGTATATAATTTGCTTTTTGATTTTACAGGGGATCACAATTAAGAGGCTGTATTGAGTCTCAGAAGAGACTTAGAAATTTTAAATTGTGTTGAAACTATGAAAGACTATGGGGACCTTAGAAATTGGACTAAGTTTGTTTTTTGCATTACGGTATGGCCACAAGCCTATGGGGGCCAGGGAGTGAATGAGAATGTTCGTATATTTGAATGCTTGGTCCCAGCTTGTGGATGAGAAGATTAACATGTGTGACCTTGTTGGAGGAGGTGCGCCCTGGGAGTAGACTCTGGCGTTCCCAGGTAGCATGCTTTCCCATGCCCTCCCCACTTACACTTGTGGACCAGACATAGACTCTAGCTGCTTCCTCAGGGGCCTTGGTCATGGTGTTTGTCATGCCAATATTACCACTTCACATTAAAAAAAAAAAAAAGTTCGGATTTGGTAATCAGAGGTGACCAGTCCCAACTGCTAGCAAACTGCCTAATAAATTTCTTGCCAATAGCTGCTCTCCTGAGCTGCTCGCCACAGCTGGCACGTTCAGTGGGCAAGGCAGACAGGGCCCCTCATTGTTCCCCTTCCTCAGCTGCCTGTGGAGATGTTCACCCAAAGCTGTTAAGGCAGGGGAAGGGAGAGCGGAAGGGATTGTCCTAAGGTGCTTCCCTGAGACACTCCCTCTCTCTGGCCTGGCAGGAAGGTACCAATGACAAAGCCTCACAAGTCACTTCTGCCATCTCTTCTGGAGCTCCATTGTAGTCCACACACTTGCCAAAGCAAAGGCAGGTAATTTCCCCACAGTCCCCTCCCCAGCTGTGATCACCCGCCATAAGGACATGCTGCTTTCAGGCTGCAGTTCTCCTAACTGCACTGGTCAAGGAGACATGGCTTGCCCTGCTCCCACACCGAGTGACCTCTCCATCTGGCTCCGACTCCCACAGCAGGTCAGAGGCTTCTGCCCACACAGAACCCAGTCTCCCCACTCAAAGGGGCGTTTGCCTCAACGTCCAGGATTGTCAGGAGGTGAAGGGCAGGTTCCCTCCAGAGTCCCCTGAAAAATTTTATCCAACCACCAACAGCCAGTCTCCATAGAGAGGGTGGGAAATAAATCGCCTTGGTGCACGGCTTCCTGCTCTGGACTGCATGTCGCCCGCATCCTCGTACCTCAGCATGTGTGTGTTTGGCCTCTGGACTCTAAAGGTTCAAGCACCCTCAAAATAGGCATTCCGTGTTCCTCAACCTTTTGCATCACCTGGTCCTCAGGCCAGACTCCTCCATAAAAGTGCCACTGCCAGTGAGTCCAGCTGAAATATATATGGGATGAAGCCACTCTGGCCTCTCTGTGCCAGTCCTTCCTGTGATATAAACACAGACAGGGAACCTGTCATTATGGCCATTCAACAAAGCTCCTGTGGGCTCTGAGGGCTATAGAAACCTGGCCAAACAGCAAGACTGTGGCCAGTATGGAGCTGATTTTAGGGTCTATCCTTGTGGAAATTTCTCTATGCTTGGCAAAAGAGAAGACCCAAGTCTCCGTCCCTGCCCTTGAGGCTGCATTCATGCTCCGCATCGGCCTACCACAGGACACCATCTCACTGAGAAACTGTCCTCTTCAGAGGCCCTCAGCCAGCTTCTCCTTTAACTCTTCACTTTCCTGCTCAAGCTTGACAGAGCTGACCAACAAGCATCTGCTAGGCACCTACTGAATGCTTAGTGCTAAGATCACCGGGGTCCTCATGAAACCGTGGGGGAGGCTCAGATACAGCTGCTAGAGTCCACGGAAGGAGAAACAGGGCTCCAGGGCCATGTGATGCCTCACCCTCAAGTATAAATGAGCCCCTCATGCCCCACTCTCCAGATCCCCACTATAACCAAACTCATCTACCGATCCAAAACCAAGGGTCCACTGCTCCTGCCTGCCCAGTCACCGGGCTCTAGTGCCTTTCCATTCCCATTGTCTACATCCCACAGCTCATAAGGGCTCTTCCTTGTCCTTGTTCCCTAGTAGATGGTTTACAAGACTCTGGGACAGGGTGAGGAAGGTAACAGGGCCATCTTCCTACAAAAAGATGGAGATTTCTTAGAGTTGGCTGCAGAATCATTGAGAAGAACCTCGGGTATATGTGAAATAAAGTGGGTCACCAGCCCCCCAGACCTTATATTGGACATCCATCACGGCCCCTGTGGTGGTTCGAATGGGAATGGACCCTATAGTTTCATAGATTTGGTCATCTAGGAGTGGCACTATTTGAAAAGATTTAGAGGAAGTGGGTCTCAGGGGTGGGCTTTCAAAGTTCAAAGTCCCTGCCAAGCCCAGAGTCTGTCTCTCTGCCTACAGATCAGGAAGGAGCTCTCCGCTACTGCTCCAGCACATGCTGATAAGGGACCAGACCACTAAAACGTAAGTAAGCCCCCAGAGTTAATGCTTTTCCTTACAATAGTTGTCTTGATCATGGTGCCCCTTCACAGCAATAGAACACTGACCAAGACAGCCACAACCCAGACTACCTCGAATTGCTGAGACAGGCTAGAATCCTAAAGAGAATGCGAGGGGGATGAAAGTTTATTTGCTTTATAATCCCACACCATTATCATCAAAAGAAGTCAGGGAGAGAACCCAAAGGAGGAGCCTAGAAGCAAGAACTGAAGCAGAGAACCTGGAGGAACACTACTTCCTGACTTCTTCAGCCTACTGGCTTATACAACCAAGACTACTTGCCCAGAGGTGGCATGACCCACAAGAGGTAGGCCCTCCCCAAATCAATCACTAATTATGAAAAGTCCCATGGGTTTGCCTACAGGCCAGACTTATGAAGACATTTTTTTCAATCGTGCGTGCATCTTCTCAGGTAATTCGAGTTTGTGTCAAGTTAACAGACCAACCAGGACAATGGACAAAGTATACAGAAAACAAACACACAAAACACGAGCTCTGGAGGAATTCCAGCATGATATGGGTGAGGAGGTGTCTGCACTTCCTCATCCTACTCCACGCCACCTTTACCTAGTCCTCAGACCTCACTGGCCCTTGACTCAGTCTAGAAAATTCCAATAGGAATATGCTAGTGGTCAATAGTAGGCTACAGGCCTAGGGCCTTGGCAAATTAATCAACTCTCTATAACCCGTTCTTAATCATTTGTTCAACAAGTCAACAGGGGTGTGGCCTGAGGCATCACAACAGGCTTCCTATGGGCAGGGGTGTGGCCTGAGGCATCACAACAGGCTTCCTATGGGCAGGGGTGTGGCCTGAGACATCACAGCAGGCTCACAGCATCAGCTGCTGTCATCACCGAGAGCAACAGCAGCATCTTCTCTGCGCTAACTCTCTGATCTAGCAGCCCCCAGTTTCAGCATCATAAAAGAAGACTGCAGGAGGACCTGGGTCCAGAGTATGAGCTGACATGGACCATAGGATCTTGATACAGGGTCCTATACTACACCCTAGAGCAGGAGAATGGGCTAAGGGAAGGGAAAGAAGTGTCCCTCAGAGAGACCCCAAGTCCCCTACACCCCCATTCCCCAGAGCACCATTCTGAGACCTCCAGCCCCCAGGCCTAGGCTAGGGCTAGGGCCAAGACGGAACTCACATTGTAGAGGATGTCAGTCCAGCCCTCCATGGTGATACACTGGAACACTGTCAAGATGGCAAACAGGATGTTGTCGAAGTTGGTGATGCCAAAGTTGGGTCCTGGCCAGTACTCCCGGCACTCAGTGTCACCCTCACACAGCCGAGCAGGGGCCTCTTTGCCACAGGGAAAGTCACCCACAGGGTCTGCGTCTGTGAGGAGGGAGTAAAGCAAAGCTGAGATCTCTGCTCCCTAAGGCGCCACCACTGGCCTTAGGCACCCTTTATCACACCTGTGCCTGATCACCTGACTGGTCCTCTCACTAACCTAACATCTGCCCACACCCCCAGCAACATGCTCACCCCTCTCTCTTCCTTGCTCTCCTGAAACCTCCCCGTTGTCACCATTCAGAAAGTCTCAAGATCCCTTCATCCTGAAATCAACACGAGCAGACGCCTATTTGCCTGCTCTAAGTGCAACCTGACTGCTCCTGCTCCAGCATGGGGCCGGGGGAGGGGGACGGATAAATGATGTTTAACAAATGATTACTACGCTTACTTCTCCTTCTCCAAACTGCTTGACTAAGGATTCAGAAATATTACCGTTTGGGCATTTGTGGCCAGTTGTCTTCAATGTGAGTGATGACAGTTCCGCTTCAATTCCTGACACAATTTCCCTCATTTCCTTGTCTCGTGCACCGCTGTAACTACCGATGCCACAAGGACCAGCTGCGACCACCATGACTTATTTGGTTTCCCACATTAAAGAAAGAGTTCTGAACTTACAATAGGGTTTAATATTTGCAGCGACTTTGGAGAATCTAACAAAATGACTTATTTCCAGTTTAGTAAAAGATTTTTTTCTAATGATGAATGACTTAATTCTAGCCAGAGCTTTTTCTGCATCTAAAAGATAATTATGCAGCTCTCTCCTTTTTATCTAATTATGCCTCACCCCTCAGAACAGCCTCTGGCTTCACCTACAGCATATTCCCAGATCGTGAATGCCACCCGCTCCAGCCACACTCTCCAACCAGCCGAGGGCTGCCATCCTAGCTCCTGGACTAAGAGTTTTTTCCTACTCAACTTGCTTCTATTTTTGCCTCCCCACTGCGGCACTGGGGCCAGAAGACACCACACCTTGTTCAAAGCCCTCCAGTCTTCCTATTTCTTGTAGAAGGCTCAGGTTCTTAGCCACAGCCCCGAAGCCACATGATTTCCTTATCTCAGTGTTCTTCCACTCTGCACGTTGGCACTTATGTCCCTGTAACTGGACCACTCTGGCTGGGTGGCCAAGCAGCTACCCTTGCCCTGCTCAGAAAGCTGTTCGTCATCGGCTTTACCAGGAAGGCCGCCCCTTGGGACCTTATGCAAACAGGCCTCAAGCCATCTATATCTATTCTATATCTATATATTTTGTTTCCTTCATAGATATTTTCACAGTGTTATTTTATTCATGTGTCTACTTATTTATTACTATTTCTCATAACATAACAAAAGTTCTACCTTACTGGTCTAGAAGCTCAAAAGTCCCTTTGATACTGAACCAGGTACCTGTTTTGTGGGTAAATACATCTGGGGTCCTCTTTTGAGTCCACGGGGCACTGCGAGACTCACCTGTGCTGTTGGGGAAGCAGGCTTTATGGAATTTGCCCATATAGAACTCAAGGCCGATGATGGCAAACATGAGAATGGCAAAGAAAAGCAGCAGCCCGATTTGCAGCAGTGGAACCATGGCCTTCATGATGGACTTGAGCACCACCTGCAAGCCTGCAACCAGAGGACAGCACAGGGAAGGTCAGCGGGCGGAAGAGGCAGAGTGAGAGCAGAGGAAGGACAGGACAGTGAGAGCTTATGTGGCAGGAGCCCTCATGGCAAAGCACAAGGTCCTCGGGAAAAGCAGGATGAACGTGTCTAAAAGTGAAGGAAGAAGACAGACAAGGGATTCTCAAAGCATGCGCACAGGATAGGGAGCGGGCACAGGGGAGAAAGATAAAGGAGAATTCAGAGTTTGGAAAGAGCAGAAAACACTAAGGGGGGTGGGGAAGAGAATGAAATACATAGAAGAAAAAGAAGCATCCAAAGAGGAATGAGGGATCTTGGGAATGAGGAGCAGGGGATCCTGGAAAAGTAAACAGAGATGCTTAGTAGATCCATCTCCTCGGAAAGGTAATTCTCCAAATTACCAGAAAGTGTCATGTCACTAGCCACAGGTCACAAGTGAGCTGGGCAGAAACTGTCAAGATAGACTATAACCCTTAATCCTTCACCCTTCCATCTTGGCCTCAGCTCTTAGATATGGAACAAAACCTTTGTCTATTCTGAGCAGAACAGGAAGCCCACCAAGGGTTTTCTTGTAGAGAAACCAGGCCCTTAGTAACCCTAAAGCCAAATCTCTGCCAGCCGGAGGGGACAGCCACAAGGAGCTGTTGACTGTGGTTTTCTTTCCTGCCTGGTTTCTTTCCTCCTACCAGGTCCCACAGCCATTTAGCCCCAAAGAAATCACACAGAGAGTCTGCATTAGTTATAAAATGATTGGCCCATTAGCTCAGGCTTATTATTAACTTTAATAATTTATATTAACCCATTATTCTTATCTGTGTTAGCCACATGGCTCAGTACCTTTTTTGGCGGGGCAAGTCACATCTTCCTTCTTTGGTGTCTGGACAGGACTGAGGAGGAATAAGCTTCCTCCTTCCCAGAATTTTCCTGTTCTCATTGACCCACCTCTACTTCCTGTCTGGTTGTCCCACCTATACTTCCTGCCTGGCTACTGGCCAATCAGCTTTTATTTAAAACGTAATTGACAGAATACAGAATTGTCCCACACCGAGGAACAGCCTACTCAGTCCCATGCCAACCTCATGCCCATATTTACCTTCTTAAGTGGCACCACCCAGAAGCATACCTATTGGCCATCTCAGTACCAGGCCCCTCTGGCGTTAAGACAAGGTTGCCCTTCACAGTCTTAGACATTTCTCTATTCTACCACCTTTCTTGGTCTCTAATCTGTTCTTCAATCCCAGAAAATGAAACTAAGAGGCAGAAACACAAGTAAGGAAAAACAACAGGGCCACTATGATAGTCTGAATGTAACTGGCCCCTGTGAGCTCATAGGGAGTGGCACTTTTAGGAGGTGTAGCTTTGTTGGAATAGGTGTGGTCTTATTAGAGAAAGTGTGTTCCTGTGGGGAGGGCTTTGAGACGTCCTATGCCCAAGATACCACCCAGGATCACAGTCCACTTCCTGTTGCCTTCTGATCAAGATGTAGCCAGCACCATGTCTGCCATGCCCCTCGCCATGACAATAATGGACTGAATCTCTGTACTATAAACAGCCACCTCAACAAAATGTTTACCTTTATAAGATTGCCATGGTCGTAATGTCTCTTCACATCAATAGAAACTCTAATAAGAGTCACTCTCTGGGATTTCGTCAAGAGTTTACTGAAAGGGGCTTTGTAGTGGTTTGAGTAAGAACTCGTCCCAATCTCAGGTATTTGGACACCTGGTCCCCAGTGTGTGGCCCTGCTTGCCAAGGTTATGAACTTTAGGATGTAAAGCCTTCCTGGAGGGATGCTGTCACTGAGGAGGAGGAGTGGGCAGCCTGGCTTCATTTCCAGTTTTCTCCGTCTGCTGCCTATGCGTCATTGAGATGTGCTCTTTGGACTTCCTGCCCTGCCACCTGCTGCTATGCCTCCCTCACCATGAAGGACTCTCCCTCTGGATCGTAAATGAAAACAAGCTCTTTTATGCATTGTTTTTGGCCCTGATGTTCACTTACAGTGGCAAAAGGTGACAATATAGATCTGCTCCTCTATCCTCTGTCAAAGGAGAAACCTGCAGGGGTAGCAGGTAGAGTATGTGTCCAGAGGCACAAGGCTCTGGGTTCAGTCCCCAACACCCTCCCCCCAGAGAAAAAGTAGTCAAAGGGCCCAAATCTTAGAAGTCACAGCTTTGATGAGGGTAGAAGAACTGTATTGGGCCTGACTGTCTCAGCTAGACTTACTTGGAATTCCAGACACCAGCTTCAGAGGTCTTAGCACACGCACAGCCCTCAGGGTCCGGAGGTCAAAGTCGGTTCCAGCGGTGGCAAGAATCCTGGCAAAAGCAAGGATAAGGGATAGAAGAGTTTCCACCTGAGTCCATGAAGAAACAACTCTCATGCTAACACTGTGTAGCCTTTCTCCAAGGGCAGCAACCATTCTTTCCCATGTGCCTGCCATCCAACCACAAGCCAGGACAGGTCATGGCCAGGCAAGGGGAACAGAACCGACTCCTGGAGGACCGCTGGCAAGGACTTCCTCTGCGTGGTCACGCGACCACTGGCCTGGCAATGAATCTTACTCCAGTTGAGTCCATGCCTAAACCACATTCCCAAATCAGCCCTAACTGTGCTTCCTGCTGCTTCACAGTGTGTAGTGGCAGAGGTAGACTGGATACTGAAGGACGCCCAAGTCTCATCTCCCATCACCCTATATCATACTGTCCTAGGAGAAGAGAGCAGAAGATTCAGGACTCGGGAAACATCATCATGGAATGATGTCAGCAAGAAGGCTGGGGCCAGGAGCCATGTAAATCCTTCCATCAGTTGCTTTTGTCATGGTGTTTTTATCACAGCAACAAGTAGTAAATAATACATGTCAGGTCCCTTCCTCCTGCAGCTGGGCTCCCATGTCAGGTCCCTTCCTCCCACTGTTGGGCTCCCGTGTCAGGTCCCTTCCTCCTGCTGCTCAGCTCCCATGGTCAACAGCAGAAATTTTGGGGAAAACTGTCATTCTTACTAGAGTTACAAGACATGAACTGAGAGATTGGCTGACCTTGAAGACAGATATTTTTAATTAACTAAGCATACAAACCCATAACACACCATCAAGAGGAAAGTAAGGCACTTTGTACTGTTCACCTCATCCAGACCAGCTGTTCAAGACTGCTGTGGCCGGTGACTGCAGAGACATCCACAGCCCTCACAGACCCTGAACACAGAGTTCATGTGGCATTACTGCCAGAGGATTAGTCCACCCTGTACAAATTCCACCTCATCCAGGGACCTAAGCTGAGACAGCTTCCTGTCACCTCGAAACTGGGCCAGCTACTTGAGTACATCTGACCCTGGGATGGTTGCAATGGTGACCTTGATGCCACACAGAAATGGCTGCAACATCAAGATCCAAAAGCTGCTCAGAGCACTGACTCAGGAGAGAAACTGAGACTCGTGTAGCCTCTACCTCACAGATACGGGTCAATGTGCCCAGAAAGAAAGAGTGCACAGTCAGTAGCCCAGGACATCCACATCTGGCCTGATAAACAGTCAGGCAGTAGTAGCCTTGTTCCTCCCTCTGAAGAGAGCAACACACGGCTATGGGACTGCACACACACAAAGCCTAGCCCTACAACCAGACAGACGGCAACCCTACCACACTCACCTGCTGTAGGCAACCCTACCACACTCACCTGCTGTAGGCAGCCAGCAGAAGCAATCACACATGCCCAAACCTAACTCAACAACCAGTAAGGAAACAGTCCTGTCCTTGATAAGCCAACACAGAGACCCTGGCTTGCAGAACTTTCAGGCACCTAGGCCCAGTCCAAGAGCCAACCAGGAATCAGACTACTTGGTGCTGATAAAGTTAATGAATGAAATAAGAATACACAGCTGATGATGGCTACACAAGCTAGATTAAGTAGAAGGTGAATTTTCTTATCCTGAAGACAGGCATTTTTAGCTAATTCAATCATATGAAAAAGTCACCAAGTTTATGGGGCCTACAGGTCATGATTAAACAAACAAAAACTGGCATATGAAAGTTCCAGGGAGTAAGGTGGAGAAAGGCACAAAAAGCACATTTAACAAAATAATACCTGAAAAATTTTCCAACTTGGGAGAGACATGGACATCTGGATTCAAGAAGCCATAGGCCTAAGGGACTCAATCCAAAAAGACTCTCCAAGGCACATTAGAACTTAACATTAGGTCAAAGGTTAAAGGCCAAGACAGAATTCTAAAATTAGAGGGGAAAAGTCACATATAAATGACTCCAATTAGAGTAGATTTCTCAGGACAAACTTGCAGGCAGAGAGATAATAAGATAACATTCAGAGTGCTGAAAGGGGAATGGGAGCCACAAATACCATACCCAGAAAAGTTTGCCCTCAGAAGTGGAGAACTAAGGTCTGTCTCAAATAAGCAAACCTAGATGGAATTCATCACCCCCAGACCAGCCCTATGAAACAGGATTAATGAAATCCTTTATCTAGAAGTGAAAACATCCATCATGAAAGAGACAAAAATGTAGAACTGATTGGTAGAGAAGATATACAAAAGTGAAAGGGAAGAAAGCCCTGTCGCTATAAAATCACCAAACGATAAGGATTCGTGAAAAAAAAGGAAGAATAAAATATATACAGCCAAGAGTAATTAATATGACAGGAGTCACTTGTTACCTATAAATAAAAATCTTTAAGTAAATCCCTCAATAGACTGGCTAAATTAAGTAGAAGGCCCAACTATATGCCCACTACAAGAAACTCACTTCATAAGAAAAGACACACTGCCTTCAAGTAACTTCACAAACAGGAGAAAGAAAGACGAAGAAGGCAATTGTACAATGATAAAAGGACAAATCAGCAACAGAATACAACAACTGTGAGCACATATGAACCCAACACTGAGCCAAACAAGCACATGAAGCAAATATCAGAACTACACGAGAGACAGGTTCCACCGTAATAACTGAAGATCTCAAAAACCCAACCTTTATCAATGGGCAATCCCCTATGTAGAAAATCAACAAAGAAACATCAATTAAATGAAGTCTAGACCAAATGATGAGAACACTTCCTACCACAACGTCAGAACACACATTTCTCTAACTACATAAACACCCTCTAGGAGAACCATACGTTAAGACATCAAAATCATATCATGTATCTTTTCCAACTACAGTGGAGAAAAATGAGGATCAACAATTATGGAAATCATATAAACACATGGAAATTAAACAGTATCCTGAATAATTAAAGAATCATAAAGAAATTACAGAGAAAGACTGAAAGTATTGCAGGACAAATGAGAAGAAAGAAACAGCACATCAAAGTATACGGGATACAGAAGAGTAGTCCTAGGAGTGGGTTAGCACAGGATAAGCTGTTGGTCCAGAGAGTGTCCTATACAAACAAGACATTCCATTGTGCATGAATGTATTAAGTATGTAGCAAGCAAGAGCTAAAAAAACAAGTAGCAAGTGGCAGACAGGTAAGGTCATCAAATCAGATACTGCTAACACCCAGCAGAAATGAACTGGGGAGCCTACTACCACAGTTGGAGTTTTCTTTCACCTTAGCATTCTGGGCAGAGGTCTCTCCACAAATGAGTTTCCAGCTTCTCATTCCCACCTTAACTGGATTTTTTTATACCATGGGATGAGCAACACTAACTTCTGTTGGAAATGGGTTATCTCCTAGCTGTTCTCAAAGGTACAATGTTTTTAATACCTTAGGCTGCTTGCTGTTCTCCTTTTCCCTTGTCATCGAGTCAGGTGACCAGTCTGCCTATGGCAAAGGGTCTTAGGAGTCACCTGAGAACATCCAGGATGGAGAGATAGCTCAGTCGCTAAAAGCACTTGTTCTTACAAAGGACCCAAGTTTGATTCCCAGCATCTATATAAGAACCCACAATTATATGCAACTCCAGTTGGAGGGGATCCAGCACCCTCTTCTGGCCTCTTTGGGAACTAGGCACACACATGGTATATATATATTCATGAAAAAACATTCATATACATAAAAAATTAAATATTTTCAAAAGAGAAAGGAACGAAGGGCTGGAGAGCACTGGCTACCCTTGCCTAGATTTGATTTCCAGAACCCACATGCCACACTACCATCCCTAACTGTAGTTCCAAGGGATCTATCTAATGCTGTATTCTGGCCTCCATAGGCACCATGTACATTTGGTACACAGACATACAAGCAAGCAAAATATCCATAGATATTGTTTAAAAACTGGTATTAAAACACTAAAGGGTGCCAAAGAACACTAAAATCATAAATTACAAATAGTAATTGAAAAGTCTTACCACAATACCATTTATACTGTGGGACAATGGTCTTGTACCCTGTAAAGATTTCTCACTTGTATTAGTTTAATAAAATGTTGATTGACCTGTAGCCAGGCAGGAAGTATAGGCGGGGCGATGAGAATAGGAGACTTCTGAGAAGTCTGCAGTCATCACCCAGGCACAGAGGAAGCAAGACAAGAATGCCTTGCTGATAAAAGAAAGGTACCACATCACATGGCTGACATAGACAAGAATTATGGGTTAATGTAGGATATAATAGTTAATAAGAAGCCTGAGCTAACAGGCCAGCCAGTTTATAATTAATGTAGACCACTGTGTGTTTCTTTGGGACTGAATGGCTGTGGGACCAGGAGGGACAGAAACCTTCTGTCAACAGACATAGAATACTATCAAGAAAACGAAAAAAAAAAAAAAAAGATTATTTTCAGCTTGGCCTAAAGATACAAGCCTAGCACCCCAGCTGCTTGAGGAACTGAGATATAAAGACCAGATGGTCTAGGCCATCCTTAGCTACAGAATGAGTTCAAGGCCAACATGCATAACTTAGTGAGACCGTCACAAAATTGAAAGTAAAATTAAGGCTGGGATATAGCTTTGTGGTAGGGTGTTGCCTAGCTTATGCAAGACCTAGGTTCGATTAACAACACTACAAAAAAAAAAGGAAGAGGAAGAGGAGGAGGAGGAGGAGGAGGA